TCCTCTTCATCCTCCTCCTCTTCCTCCTCAATCCTCAGTCCTCCTCCTCAGTCATCCTCTTCATCCTTCTCGTCAGTCCTCCTCCTCCTCAGTCCTCCCCCAGTCCCCCTCCTCCTCCTATTCAGTCCTCCTCCTCAGTTCTCCTCAGTTCTCCTTCTTCTCCTCCTGGGTCCTCCTCCTTCTCTTCACCAGTCCTCCTCCTCAGTCCTCCTCATCCTCTTCATCCACTTCCTTCTCCTCCTCATCAGTCCTCCTTAGTCCTTCTCCTTAGTCCTCCTCCTCCTCCTCGTCGTCCTCAGTCCTCGTCCTCAGTCCTCATCAGTCCTCCTTCTCCCCAGTCATCATCCTCCTCCTGGGGCCTTTTCCTGGGTCCTCCTCCTCCTGGGTCCTCCTCAGTCCTCCTCCTCTTCCTTCTCCTCAGTCCTTCTCCTCCTCAATCCTTCTCCTTTTCCTCCTCCTCAGTCTTCCTCCTCCTCAGTCCTCCCCAGTCACCCTCCTCCTCCTCCTCCTCCTCCTCTTCTTCCTGGTTCCTCCTCCTGGGTCCTCCTTCTCCTCATCAGTCCTCCTCCTCTTCCTCCTCCTCCTGGGTCCTCCTGATCCTCCTCAGTCCTCTTCCTCTTTCTACTCCTCATTCCTCCTCCTCCTCAATCCTCCTCTTCCTCCTAAGTCCTCCCCACCTCAGTCCTCCCCCTACTCCTACTTCTCAGTCCTCCTCCTCATCAGTCCTCTTCACCAGTCCTCCTCCTCAGTCCCCCCTCCTCTTCCTCCTCAGTCCCCCTCCTCAGTCCCCCTCCTCCTCTTCCTCTTTTTCATCTCTCAATAATTTGTTCAATTTATAATTATTGTTGGTGTTATTGTTTACATAATTTATTGTTATATACTAAAATGTTTTTAAACGCATTTGAGTCTGACTCAAAATGTGCTCAAGAATCTTTGTGTTTAACAAAGTTTTACTCTCCAGTAATAAAACTTTTCATCCCTTTTTATGTTATTAAAAAATGTGTAGACTATTCTTTGTGCCTAATTGAGGATTAAAAGTTTGAGAAAGGACCATGGTCATTAACCGGGCTACCCATTTCTGCAGATAGCCTGTTACAAATTGTGGAGAAAATTTAAATAAAAAGTTACAATTTTTGTCCGTTTTTGTCCGTTTTTGTCCGTTTGGCAGCTATATTTTCAAAACGGACAAAAATTAACGGACAAAAACGGACAAAAACGGACAAAAAATAACATGATCCCCCCCCCCCCCTTTGACTCTCTGTGTTACACAAAATCTCACATGAACGTGTCTTGAACATTCGCTGACAGATAACGAGCGACTGTGGAGGCGTGGAATTCACTGGTCACTGAGAGCACTGACTGGATGCCCTTTAGCAAGAATTTAAACAGAAATATACATTTCAGGAACATTTAAAAAAGAAATTCCCCTCCCCAGGTACCAGACTACAACTCACTGCTGAGAATACTGTCCTAACCCTCCCCAGCCTATCCTCTCTGGATACTGGTTCCTACACAGTATCAGCTACTAATTCATACGGAACTGGTTCTCTGACATTTAATGTGGCGATGAACTCTGGTGACCCATCTGGTCCTATTTCTATTGTGCCAGTACAAGCTGATATAACTGCAGAGGTTAGATAGTAATGGTGGGGAGGTGATTATCTATTAATTGGTTGCCATATTTGCACCGTTAATATTCCACGGAGAAAATAAAGTAAATTTTTCGTACACCAGACATAACATGGCATTTTTGTCATTTATAACGTCGAAAAGTCTAAGTGATAAACATTAAAAAAGATATAACAGAGATAACTGCAAGAGTTTGCATGATTTGTTTATTTAAATCTGAGGTTATACTTTTAATTTTGGAGTAAGCATGAAACATTACATTTTACAATTTAAATTGCTAACTTGACTATTTTTTCACGCCAGGTAGGAAGCACGGTGGAACTAAGAGCACTAGTTCTCTACCCTACATTTCTAAACCGCAAGAACCTAATCTGGTCACGTGACGGAGTGAGTCTACCCCCAGGGAGGCGGTACTCTTTCTCTGAGAGTAACACTAACTTGGTAGTCGGACAAAGTGGCAGAGCCATAGCTTCACTCACTGTCGGCAGTGTTACACTAGCTGATTCTGGGCTTTATAAGGTGTTTTTCAGTGGTGAGTTTAAAAATACGTAGATTAAATTATTGGTTATTAGATGTCTTAAATGTTAATTTTTTATAATAATCGCACTTTTCTCAAAGTCAATATAATATTATCTTTATATTAGCTAAATCTTAAAATACATAAATTTCTTGGAATGAATGGGGAAATCGTCAATTTCACCATGTACGTATCCCACTAGGCAGTAATTGATAGCATATTATTTCAAGTTATTATTACTATTATGCACAGATCCGTGTCAGGTTGCATAAACAATAAACATATGGTTACATAGAAATATACACGATTTTCAAATTCAATATGGAATTCACTGGGTGCAGGTGGCGCTCGACCTTTCACTTCGCCATATCTGCATGCTTATAAACAGTAAAGACTGGGGAGTGGGGACCCAGGTTGTATGAAACATATAATAAAATAAGCCATCGCGGATCGAGAAATTGAGCGGCCATCCACAAAAGAAAAGCGGCCGCATTTCTTGTTCACGTTCTCCTGACTTCTTCTTGTCTCCCCTTATCTCCCCTTATCTCCCCGTATCTCCCCTGTCCAGGTTCGTACTACCAATCAGCTGCTGGAGAAATGAGATTAACCGTGTTAGAGTCTACAGATACCGTGTCGACAAACTCTATAGCAACCCTGTCCAGACTATCACCTCAAAAGATAGCAGTTTACACTGGTGCTCTCATAACACTTCAGGTAAAAATTCACAGGTTGAAGATTCAATTTTAAGGAAATATGATTTAAAATAATTCTGAAAATCACGTAAAAATCAGGGGAAGATACATATTACTGAAGTTGTACTCCTGACTACGACCTACGCCTGTCGCCTATTATCTTGTAATTTTTTTAAATCCATTAATCAGCATACCCTTTATAGTTTATACTCGGAAAGTATTTAGCAAAAATAGAACGCTACATTCTAAAATTGCATGCATTGTAAAATACATATGGTAATGGTATTACCATATGTATTGACTACCTTTCTTGTTCTGATGGACCTCCTTCTAGAGATGAGATTAGTTATGCTCTAAAGAAACTGAAGAACTGCAAAAGTGCAGGGGTTGATGAGATAACTAATGAACAACTTAAGTATGGTGGAAGTGCTCTTGTTGGCCAACTAGAGCTACTGTTTAAAAAGGTATGGGAGGAAGAGGTGATCCCTGAGGATTGGCTTAAAGGTGTTATAGTGGTTATCGGAAAGAAGGGAGACACCTCATACTGCTGCAATAATAGGGGTATAACTCTTAGGGCAACGTCTTCTAAGGTTCTTCAAATGGTTCTTCTCAAGAGGCTGGATGTTGGAATGGAGTGTCTTCTTAGGGAAAATCAGTGTGGGTTCAGACGGAACCGCTCATGTATTGATCAGATTTATTCCATCCGCACCATTATTCACAACTGCATTGAGTTTAACATTCCACTTTATGTTAATTTCATTGATTTTAAGGCAGCGTTTGATTCCATCAGAAGAGAGTTTATTTGGTCAAGCATGAGACACTATGGACTTCCTGAGAAATATGTTAGAATCTTTCAGGCATTCTTCAACGGAACCATGAGTGCTGTCAGGGTTAATGGTGAAATGTCTGACTGGTTCTCTGTTAATTCGGGCACTGGACAGGGTGATATCCACGGCCCCCCTGTATTTAATTTTTGTCTGAACTTTGGAATCTTTTTGGCCGAGGTTCACAAGGCAATCAGTCATGGTGCTGTACTGCAAAAGGAACTAAAGGGTGCAGATGAAAAAGTTATCATGGACAGTGACTACGCTGATGATCTGGCAGTGATGGACAATACTGAAGAAGGGCTGCAAGAGTCCACTGATCTTATAGCTTATTACACCTCTTATGCTGGGTTGAAGATCAACGCTAAAAAGACACAATGCATGGCGATCAGCAAGTGTGCGTCCCAGCGACCTTACACCGAAAGAGACAGTATAAAGCTAACAGTGGAGGGAGAACCTGTTGAACAGGTCAGCAACTTTGTTTATCTTGGTGCCAACATCAGTGGGGATGGTACCATTGACCGAGATCTTGACATCAGGATCCAGCGTGCTAATGGTGCGTTCCATCAGCTTTGGAAGATATGGAACAGTCGAACTATAAGAACGCCCACCAAGATCCGTATCTACAAGGCTGCTGTTATTACTATTCTGTTATATGGAGCCGAAGTGTGGAACACAACAAAGAAGCAGATGAAACGGTTTGAGGTCTTCCATCTGACCTCCCTGAGAAGAATCTTGAAGATAAAGTGGTTCTTCCATGTCACCAATGAAGAAGTTCTCAGGCGTGCTGGAATTAAGTCTATCGAAACTTTCATCGGTGCGGCTAGACTAAGGTGGTACGGACATGTTGTCAGAATGCCAGAGACGCGGTTTCCCAATTTCTTACTGGATTGGAAACCAAACTATGGAAAGAGACTGAGAGGACGACCCCGCAAAGGCTGGATGGCCTGTGTACTCGAGGATGCGGCTGAATTTACAGGTGTCGATAACATCAGCAGGGATGCAGTAAAACAGTTGGCTTTAAAGCGAGTGGAATGGAGGAACATGTTACGCCGTAGAAGAGATGTGTGTGATGCAGGCCACTCCAACGACTAGGAGGAGACCTCTTCGTGTAGCATGTATGTATGTATGTACAGGTGAGTTGAAAATAGTGTGTGGAAAGTAAATGTATTTTACAACCCATTTTGAGAGACCTCTGTAAGTTTACTTTGTCTCGTTTAATCGGCACTACGTTTCTCTAACCTAAGATTTTTAGTTTTGTCTTGAGAGTTGAGATGAAACACAATATAATTATAATTGTTATTTTTCTGATGTATAAACTAACAAATAAACGGCGTATTATTTCAAGAAATTAAATCGGTTTGAAAATACAACAACAAAATGCCACCAGCCCAGTTAAGTGCAGGAGATATACAGCAAACGTCGCGATTCCTTGATCACCGTAACCAAATTATGCCTCCTCTCACGTTAACATGTGGACCCCACAGCTATCCAGTTGATGTTCCAATTCCAGCTGTTTGCATCACTCGTTGTTGTTTTATATCTAGTCTCTGGATAAAAAGCAGTCCAAACTAATCCCATCACTTCAATATCAAACTTGTCCTTTGTCATATGACTAGGCGAGGTCATCCCAACCATGTAGTCGTGCATTTTATCACCATTCATAGAGGTGATAACGATAGGTGTACACACGAACTGGCATGCCGAGATATCAACCGTTGTAGATAGTCGTCCTGGATATCCAGTCCACGTTGTTGCACCATGTCCAGTAGATCCTACACAGGTGAGAAGACATGGGAGAGGGTTGGTAGGGGTGTTTCCGGTCTGATCCTTTATCATCTTCGTCTCATTCCCCTTGGAGGGTGTCAGGAGGAGCAAGCTCAGACCAACAATCTGCAACACTCTTGTATTCATTGTCATCGCCATTATTACTGAAATATTGTGACAAAGTATTAAAATAGTTAATTATTCGGGTTATTGAGGTGGAGAGATACCTGCCAAGATAGATAAAATATCAAACAATTGGTGTAAAATAGAGAAGCTCAACCAGACTAGTCGAACGGGCTGTGATAAACTGTGCCTGCTCACAATTACTCGCACGTACACTCTATACAGTCTATACTCACCCAGCCGTATAGCGTCCGATCAAATACTATGTATTATATTGACTCTCGACAAAAAATGTCGCCAGCCAAGAGTCGTTGTGGAGCAAAGACGAATAACGCACGATGAGCAGTATCGTGAAATATATCAGTAATTAGTAGACTCAGGTCAACCCTCGTTGAACCTCACTTAAGCTAAACCCTACTAGAATCTAGTAGACTCGGATCAACCCTCGTTGATCCGAACAGCACTTAAATCTAACCCAGCGAGATCTGTACCCTACTCCAACACCTGTCACGATAAACTAGATAAAAGTTAGTGCTAAACGAACACGATAAACTAGAGCTCACCTCGTCCCTAAACTGTCTCTCTATCTTAAAGCCAAATGGGTTCTCATCGAAATACCGTCACTGCAGGCCCTGTTCAGTGTACGTGCTCTCCAGGACCTGACCCTTACAGATCCTGCAGTCCCGAAATGTCCGACATCAATGACCCTCCCGGGCAAACTAAATCTCAGTCCTATGACATTTCTTACCCCACTTTATATAATGTCCTGTTCGTGGTTTTATCCACAACCCCTCCCTGAGGGTCCCTCCAGTACCACTCGTCAACCCTTGTTACAATTTAATATACCATCTGCTTAATATACCATCTGCTTAGAAGTATTCTTTGATTTATCCCTAAACAAAGCTCTTAACCACCGGTAGCTTGGTACAAACAAAGGCTACTGATCACCTGTGATTCCACCGCAACAAAGGCTTTTCGAAACTCCCCTGCTCCAATCTTCTAGTCGTAACTCACCTATTGTCTACACTCTACCTGTGCTCGCCCCTCTAAATCCGTAGAAGAATTATTCTTCCAATTGTCAATATTATAATATAACTATATAATAATACAAATATTCACCATGTACAGATAATGAATAAAAGTAACCATGAAGAGTTTATTAAGATGTTAGATCTTACAAACATGTTAAATCTTCCTGGCGTTCCTGCTATTCTTTAATTAAGCCTTAAAATGCAATATTATTATAATTTATCAGCCACTCCTCCTGGTACATTCTGCGATAACATAATGATTCTTAATTAAACTCATTAAATACACAAAATATAATTAGTTTGACATTGACATTAAAATGGATTAAAATGCTCCCCATCTGGCTATTCTGGCCAATGGCATACAGCATATGAACTAGAGTAATCATGTTGTAGCTAGTGCTACAGCAGCTCTCAAATCCTCTTTTTATCTACAGGTTTCCACTGGTCCAGATACCAGGTCAGATAGTCGGACAACATGGACCAAGGTACCCGGTACCATATCTCCTTACCGGTCTAGTTACCGTGACAACGGGAGAACCCTTGTCATCACAAGTGCCATTGTCAGTGATACTGGCACTTACAGGTATTGTACAAATTGATAGATCTAGCTTCTTTAAAAAAACTTTATCTCTTTAAAATACTATCAGTACAAGCTTCATCCTGGTCACGTGTCTGGTCACGTGCCTGATCCGATAAAGTGTGAACAATCGCGATCAGTAAATAAAGTGTTCATCATCGTACCGGATACTACCGTCAGCAAGTTCGTACAGGGTGTTTTGTAAAAACCACCCTGTACAAACACGTATTGATTTGCCTTCAAAAATAAAATACATTATAAATCCAAAATGACTCTACAATGTACTCTACAATACAGATGTCTGTTCTTGCAAAACCCGGTGAGCCTAAGTTAACATGTTCTAATTCAGGGTATCAGCTGAGCGATCAAATTCGATAGAGTTTCAAGTATCGGTAATAGACAGTGAGAGAGGCCAGAACCAAGCCCAAACCAATTCTGATATCACCGTCACGCCAGTCAACTCCAACGTGTACGTAAACTTAGGTGAGCACCAGAGTTAACATTGCGGGCTAGAACCCGCGCTGTGGGTGGTCCAAAACTAACTTAATGTGAACATGATAATGTGGGAACTCCAGATCTTTTTAATTAGAACATTCCATCAATGATTTAAGACGGCAATTAATTCTGAACCACCCTCTAGAATCTTATTTACAAGCAGTACACCAGTTAGTTAGCCACCTGAATTCTCCCCGATTAAATTCAGCTTGTTTCCTAACAAGTAGTATCCAGGAGAGACAGCGACCCTGTCAGTGTTGGTATCTGGTACTGAGTCGGTATCTTCTCTTGATGTGCGGTGGGAGAAGTGTAACCAGATGGGGCTGTTTTGTAGCAGGATCACTCATAACAAGGATACTTACTTTAACTACAACACACAGGTATGGACACTTCCCTTTACTCCAGTAGCAAGGTGGAGTGTGCACTTCAATGTATAAAGTTTTTGCTGCTGAATCGGGTTAAATAGGTCATTGGTAACTCAAATCACCGAACGCTGCATGTTGTGTCGTGAGTGGCGTAACGTTGCCTGTTGGCGCCCTCCCCCCTCCCCCCGGTCGAAAATGCGCCCCCCTTCAGGCACTCCCTCCCTTTTAGGCGCCCCTCCCTGAAATTTAACAAATTGGGTTATTTCAGAAGATACGTCAGTATAATCTCCAAAAAGTGTGTTTCTAGAGCAAAACGCGCAGTTTTGCTAGTACCTCAGTTAAGTTTTTCAAAATTGTCCCACATTCAAAAGACGATTTTGGGCCCCCCTAAGATAGCGCCGCCCCCCCCCCCCCCCCCCCCGCATAGCGGGGTCTGCGGGGCCCTTCGTTACGCCACTGTTGTGAGTCCCAACCCTGTGGGACTCGCGACACAAGTGATATAATTAGGCGCGTATATGGGAATTTTGTATCTCAGCTTCTGAAGGTCTAGTCTTAGAGACTTAATCTTGGGCTTCAGAAAAACCGATTTTCACTGGGGTCCGATTAAACAAAAAATACTCTAGAAAGTAAGTGAAATCGAGTATGCAGTTTGGTGTCTACCATTTTTTTTTGGCACATGGTCCTTTGCAAGGACAAAAGGAAATCGCGGCATGTGAGGACCAAATTCGCGCATTCTCCTTTAAATCCTAGTATATCTTATTCTCTATGAATATATGGAACCAATCACATCCACAGCCTTCCGATTGTAGGTACGGACTCCGAAAAACCGATAAGATATTTTCGGCTCATAATGATCAGGGTAACATGGAACGTGAACAAAAGAAGTTTCCAGCATGAACCGTATAGAAGAGAAAAGTGATAGTAGAGAAAAGTGGTTTCTAGGAATCTACTTTCACAAGCATTTCTTAATTCTTAATAAATAAATATCTGCAGGATCGAATAATGCCAGTTTCTGTCAGATTTCTCTTCATTTCGTAAAATTTGTTACCCCGTAAAATTACTGTGACTGTGACTGTGACTGTGACTGTGACTGTGACTGTGACTGTGACTGTGACTGTGACTGTGACTGTGACTGTGACTGTGACTGTGACTGTGACTGTGACTGTGACTGTGACTGTGACTGTGACTGTGACTGTGACTGTGACTGTGGCTGTGACCACTCACTCCCCAGTTGCGTGTGCAGAACGTAGCAGGCGGAGATGATGGTGTATACAGGTGTCTTGTGACTGGATTAGATCAGATTACCAGACAAGGTGATGTTACTTTGTCTATCACCGGCTCCTCCATCATCGTCACACCGGGTGGGAGTTTTTGTTATTTTATTCGAAATTAATTAATCAATGGGGTAAACTTAACAAGTTCGTGATCTCCTTTTCCTTTACAGATTTCACTACAGCACATGCATATTATTAGAAATTAAAAATGATGATATTACTATAAGATATCTGAATTGTTGAGTTGTCTGAGCTATACCACTGGAGTAATATAATATAATCACATAGACAAACTAGGCTCCTTGGTCTGCGGGATTTCCCAGATCAGTACCCGCACATTTATACTCATGAACATTCGCAGGATATTCATACATTAATCTCAGAGTGTCAACACTAAAAATTAACAACCAGTAACCCTTCAGAGCAAAGCAAGTTCAGTGTGGAAGTAGGACAGAAAGCCACTCTTCTAGCCACTATCACGGGAGTAACGTCACTCAGCAGCAGGGACATCACCTGGACCAAAAGTGAGACTTTTTAAGGCTGACTTCCGGTTACACTTCGGGTATTCGAGGCTAAAATCTGGTTAAAATCCCGTTATCATTGTTCCGTTTAGGATTTAAAAATCAATGTAACACATAAACTAACTGATAAACTAACTGATAAACTAACTGATAAACTAACTGATAAACTAACTGATAAACTAACTGATAAACTAACTGATAAACTAACTGATAAACTAATTGATAAACTAACTGATAAACTAACTGATAAACTAACTGATAAACTAACTGATAAACTAACTGATAAACTAACTGATAAACTAACTGATAAACTAACTGATAAACTAACTGATAAACTAACTGATAAACTAACTGATAAACTAACTGATAAACTAACTGATAAACTAACTGATAAACTAACCTTTAAGTAACATATAAAGATATAACTAACCTTGTTAAAAAGCCTGACTCCTCCCTTTTAGATGGTCACCTGGTGGACAGACAAAGGTTTACCACATCCTTCTACACTTCACCCTACAGGACCAGTATCGTATGTCAGAGCGTCTTCCTCAACGACGCTGGCAGCTACATCGTCACTGTCAAAACCACTGGTGAGGGAAACGGACATGTGTATCGTGTAAAGGATTGGAATGATGCCAAAAGTTGATTTTAGGTCTCATTTTTATTGTAATTTTATAGTGTCTTCTCCCCAAACGCTATGTAAGAATAATTGTTTCACCGCTTCAGATGGATCGGGGTACTCAGAAGTGGTACTGGAGGTTCTGGACGCTAACTCGATTGAGCTCACCACCTCTGATCTTAGTCTACGAGAGGGAGAGATAGCCATATTCAGGTAAACAAACCAAAAGAACACGTACTTTTCTCCAGGAAATATAGCAAATTCAAGTTACATAGAACGAGAAATGAGAACCAGTATTAAAATAAGTATTCAGGTGCGGATCACAGTGTACCCTTCCCCTTCTCTAACGGAAATAGAGTGGCAGAAAGACACCTTCCCCCTCAACACCGACACTTCATCCAACAAGTACCAGTTGTCAGCTGATAGGAGGACTCTTTCTGTCAACTTCCTCTCCCCTCGGTCAGTTAGTCTGCCTTTTGTTAATTACAGTCACAAAGGAATATAGGAAGAAATAAAATAGAATTGCAGCCACACAGAATAGGTATTAACACCTGATTAAGCACCTGAGGCTGAGTTCGGTTTTGTACGTTTTTTTTTGGACAAATAATTCCGATCTCAAGGCCATATCAAATTCACAAAAATTAAAGTTCAGTTAATGAATGTTCACTGTTTTCATGACATTTCCTTTCTTTGATTACACATAAATTTCGCTCCCACTAAATCGCTCGCCCAAATCTTTAAAAATTCTTGTGAATAGGCCCTGAAGGCATGAAAGTAATCTAATTTGGTGTTCCCTTGGAGAGTTACTGGCAATAATCCATTTTGGTCACGTGACAGGCTAGTAAAACACGGATTCAATTTTTTGGGCTCGGGTTACCGGTTAGGGTTGTGGTAAGGGTTATGGATAGCTTCGGGGTTAGGGTTGGGTTAGGGTTTGGATTAGGATTAGGGTTTATCATTATGTAAAACCGTATTGTTCGGCTGCAAAACAATAAAAACCAAAGTCACGTGATAATTTTTGGGCGAGCGAATTAGTAAGAGCCCATAAATTTACCAAACTTGTTTTCAGCGATTCAGGATACTACCGGTGTACAATAAGAAACTCAGTTTATATCTCTAACTCTAACATCCTTACTGTTATAGGTATTGGCTTTCTTCAATTATTGTCATCTTTATGGCTGTGAAGTGTGAGTCTCTTTGAAATTAATTTTCAAAAAGACACTTTGATCAGAAAATATTTATTTAGTTAATTTTACCTTAATTACAGGTTAATTTTACCTGGAAAACTTTTTTTTAAACACATAATGAGCTGTTGTTTCATTTGCACAACTCTTCAAAACTAAAACGTATTTCTCAGACAAGTTATTGGTTCGCCCGGTGAAGCCGACAGTGTACAGTGGATACCAGGACGATGTGTCTCTTTCTGTGATCGTGCAACCCGTGAGTTGTCATTCTCCTTTCTAATTATCTAATTATCTAATTATCTAATTATCTAATTATCTAATAATTTAATTATCTAATTATCTAATTATCTAATTATCTAATTATCTACTTATCTAATTATCTAATTATCTTATATCTAATTATCTAATTATCTAATTATCTCATCACTTTACCCAGTTCGCTGGTCTATGGCTCACTTTTCTGGGAGAAGAATTAAACGAATGGGTAAACAATTACTAGACTCAAATCATCAAAGTTGATGAGTTTGATACATCAAATACCACTTTCCGTGGTTGCCATACAGTTTAAATCCGCCCTAAAACAGTCGCAGCTTACGAGTAACTTTACAGGATGGTGGGTACATAGAAGGAACTGTTGACTGGTATAAAGGTGGAAACAGAGTGGTAGTTGGGGGCAGGATATCCAGGTCCCAGTGGGGCAGAACTATCTTCATCTCTAACGTAAGATAGTTTTACCATCTCATTTATGTACTAGTACTGTGCATGTTCTAGTTCTTTAGCAGGAACGTACTATTTGCTAAATAGCTACGTTTGTCTTCATTCTCCAAAACCTGGGAACTGAATGAAGTTACATTCAGTCAAACTCAATGAATCTGAAATATCTGTCATATCTAGTATAGAGGTATAGGATTGGAACGTAACCGGAAACTGATGATTTTTAGATATGAATATTTACTGGCTCGGTTTTAAGGATGTGCTGAACCATGATCTACAGGTAACAGAAGGAGATATAGACAGATGCACGGCCAGGTTAAACTACTTACTTACTTACTTACAGGTTACAGAAGGAGATATAGACAGATACACGGCCAGGTTAAACTACTTACTTACTTACTTACAGGTTACAGAAGGAGATATAGACAGATGCACGGCCAGGTTAAACTACTTACTTACTTACTTACAGGTTACAGAAGGAGATATAGACAGATATACAGTCAGGTTAAACTACTTACTTACTTACTTACAGGTTACAGAAGGAGATATAGACAGATATACGGCCAGGTTAAACTACTTACTTACTTACTTTCAGGTTACAGAAGGAGATATAGACAGATATACGGCCAGGTTAAACTACTTACTTACTTACTTACATGTTACAGAAGGAGATATAGACAGATACACGGCCAGGTTAAACTACTTACTTACTTACTTACAGGTTACAGAAGGAGATATAGACAGATATACGGCCAGGTTAAACTACTTACTTACTTACTTACAGGTTACAGAAGGAGATATATACAGATACACGGCCAGGTTAAACTACTTACTTACTTACTTACAGGTTACAGAAGGAGATATAGACAGATATACGGTCACTGTTTCCTATGACGGTTACACCAGATCTGCTGAAATACAGCTTCGTTACTACAGTGAGTTTTAATAAAAACTAAACTTCGTTACTACCACATAGTATATGAAATACAACTTCGTTATGATGAACAATGAACAATGAATATCACCATCGTGTTCGCTGTTCCTTAATTAGCAAGTACAGTAATTTTTTTAGTTCACTAGAGTAGGTATATGGTATTAGAGATTTTAATTTGTTGATTTTTCGATTTTGACCAATTTTGACCAATTTGGACCAATAACCAATTTGACCAAAAAAATGATGGAAATGATGCCCTATTTTTCCTCAATACATGCTAAAAAAGAATTGTATGAACTATGTAAAGTTAATCGGTTAAAAATCCATTCTGTAATCAACATATCGGATTATTCTTCTCGGATATTCGGATTATTCTTCTCGAATATTCCATAGTTGATGCAGCCCGCCACCTATATTTGCTGTTTGGCACTCAACAACAACAAAGACAAGTTTACTGTACCTGCTATACACTGTACAATGAACTAGTGAGGAATTGTATGAGTTTAACATTCTTCATGCTGGGCCTCATGTAATTTTCAAACATTTAAAGCGCGCCCTTCACAAACTCAATCACTCATGGATCATCTTACTCTGTCCAACCAGTCTGCGTTATAGGAAAACATTGTCCAACCAGCGTGCGGCATAGGAAAACATTGTCCTATGAGCGTCCAGCATCTGAAAACATCAGCCAATCAGGTGTCTCGTTACGAAATACGATCCAGTAAGATGTAAGAGCGGGGCTGCAGGAATGTGTTCGAACTGTGTGATATCATTCATGTGATTGTATTACCATTATGTAATATCTTGGGACACTAGTGTGCTTTTGTTTCTTTGTCTATTTCTTGATAACGGATGTGAAACCTGAGTGATAGGTCTATTTTTATAGTACGTCTACTTTTGGTTTTGACATGCGATTTTGATGGTTGTTAATAAATTTACCCTTGATTAGAACCACGAGTGTTATCATGGAAATAATATCTGTTAGGTTCGTAAAGTTGAAACATGAGCGTCACACTCCGATTTATACTCACATTGTCCTATTTTAGGTGGTGTTTGTGTCCGTATTGTATTTCGAATCATTCCTGCTGAAAACGGTTCTAGACTTTCAGTATTTTCTAATAAGTTGAAAAGGTGCACCGCCTTTTCCAGACAGCAACCTAAAGAACTATAGAACTGTTGAAATGAGCTCACAGGTCACCAACCACCTTGCCTTTTAGTCGAAGAAGGTACGCAGTCATAGACACGTAAATCTATTACCATATTAGTCATCTCAACCATCCTGAATATGGTATAATTGCTGGTTACCTTCTGAAACTGTGCCAGCTTGCTGTGTAACCTTCCATACAACTTTAAGTTTAAATACCTGTGAGCAATGTTATGATGAGGGAGAACAAGGCCATTTGTTGTGTGTTTGGAGTTGTGTTCAAGGTCTTGTGTTTGGAGTTTTGTTCAGGGTATTGTGTTTGGAGCTGTGTTCAGGGTCTTGTGTTTGGAGTTGTGTTCAGGGTCTTGTGTTTGGAGTTGTGTTCAGGGTCTTGTGTTTGGAGCTGTGTTCAGGGTCTTGTGTTGGAGCTGTGTTCAGGGTCTTGTGTTTGGAGCTGTGTTCAGGGTCTTGTGTTTGGAGCTGTGTTCAGGGTCTTGTGTTTGGAGCTGTGTTCAGACTTCAGGGTCTTGTGTTTGGAGTTGTGTTCAGGGTCTTGTGTTTGGAGTTGTGTTCAGGGTCTTGTGTTTGGAGCTGTGTTCAGGGTCTTGTGTTTGAAGTTGTGTTCAGGGTCTTGTGTTTGGAGTTGTGTTCAGGGTCTTGTGTTTGGAGCTGTGTTCAGGGTCTTGTGTTTGGAGTTGTGTTCAGGGTCTTGTGTTTGGAGTTGTGTTCAGGGTCTTGTGTTTGGAGTTGTGTTCAGGGTCTTGTGTTTGAAGTTGTGTTCAGGGTCTTGTGTTTGGAGTTGTGTTCAGGGTCTTGTGTTTGGAGTTGTGTTCAGGGTCTTGTGTTTGGAGTTGTGTTCAGGGTCTTGTGTTTGGAGTTGTGTTCAGGGTCTTGTGTTTGGAGCTGTGTTCAGGGTCTTGTGTTTGGAGCTGTGTTCAGGGTATTGTGTTTGGAGCTGTGTTCAGGGTCTTGTGTTTGGAGTCGTGTTCAGTGCCTTGTGTATGCATGGTGTTTGATTCTCTACATTTTCTCTTTGTTTTATTTTCTTGTTCACGGATATCATCATTTTAGAAGTGAACTGGTTTGAGCTGTTTGGAGTTTGATACTATCCCCTCACTTTTATCTGTTTCCAATCTCCCGACATTTTAGTGGAAATCAACTTTCAACCTTTTCTGTTTTATCTTTTTTCAAACGAGTTTAGAGTTTACCCCCTCCCTAGCTGTATATTTGTGACCACCCAAAGTTACATCCGTAAATGTAATAGTACACAATGAGGTGATCACTACTTAATACTTATCATGACGGAGGTGGTGGTCAGGTCACCCCGATATCAGTGTCATGTTCTAATGGCTTAGTAATGACGTACCTATCATTCTTCACACATCTAGATCACTTCTTTGCTGGAAATCAGGACGATAATTTCTCTCTAAATCGCCAAAACATTTATTAAAAAATAAGGACAACAATATAATGATTTCTCTAAATGTAATATCTAGTGTGTTATCTCGTGTGTTATCTAGTGTGTTATAGCTTATTTATAGCTAAACACACACTTATAAAGCTTAGCAGGTGTGTTGGAACCCTGCCCCGCGTGTGTTGGAACCCTGCCCCGCGTGTGTGGAGACAGTGTAGGTAGAGAGAGGGGCTGAGTTAGGTATCAGGTTACATTCTGCTCTCTCCTTTTTTAGATCTTTGATCCACGTTTCTTTGTCGTGTTGATTTTATTACTCCAGGTTTGGTGTAATCTGCATTTGTTTTACTGGGTGAGCTTGGGTTGGGTCCTTGGAGCGCACTTTATCGTGGATAGCAGCAGTATTCAGTTTCTCAGTTTGATAGATCATAGTATTCAGAGGTTTATTGTTTTGCTCTCAAGTTATTACAAATATTGTTGTGTTTTAAAGAGAGGTTCAGTATAACATAAACAACGTCACCTCGAATCATTGTATTAATGGAGTTTGCTTTCGGAATCCAGGAGATTTTTATATAATATCATTTTCAAAACGCTTCGTATGTTGTCAAATGATTGACACATTACACACGTTGAATATCCAGTGTTACATCATGTTATCGTGTATGTGTTTTTTTTTTTTTTCCCCACCTATGCTATGTAAATTGACAGTCGCACCCATTTATTGTTTTACAGGTAAAACTAATTTTCTTTGGATTAACCTTTCTGAGTTTCTGCACTGACTATTGACTAAACCTTCATCATGTCATAGGCTTTCTGTTTATTATGCTTTAAATATTCTGCGTACTTAAAAATTGGACCAGTAAAAGTGCCGCGGACATTTGGATCCTATTTTGATTGTTCTTATATAGCTATAATCAGTAATCACCTTTCCTGTTCTGCGACAGTGAGGGGCCTCTTATCTTCAGCAACAATTAAAATAGGAAGTTAATGGCGATTAACTCTTTAGCTGCTTCATGTTGTCTTCATAGATCAGATAATTACAGTATATTTTTAGAACGTGTTTGCTTACTAAAAATAAGCTCGCTGGTTATTCTCCAAATAGTCCTTGTATGTGAGTATCGCTACCTGGTAAAGTTTTTCGGTTAACGTTTGCGTTGCTGGACGTAATGTACCATAATGGTTCCAATGGTACACACTACATACGTTTCCTTCTGAACCATGTTGTGTCTAATGCTAGCCTTCTAATGGCACACCTGACATATTGGCGGCAATTTCTTATCAGACTTTATCTGTGCCTTGCATTCCATTCTGATCCTGGTATTTTGTGACCTGGAGAATCACAATACTCTGTGATTAGGGGTAATAGTGTACATACACGATGTGTACACTGGCAATTAGGAATTGCTCCAGGGGCCCTGTATAAAACATAATATCTGAATCACGTGCTCTTCACGTTAGCATGACAACTGGTACCACGTGACACACACTATTTCCTGTAATACTCGACGTCATTACAGTACGCTGCTTGTAGAGGGTCTACCCAGGCATCAGCCAATCATGTTCCAGAGCGGGAGCTCTCAACCAATCAGAGAGCGAAGAAATTGTCACGTGACCGCGTGCAGACCGCGCGCTCCATGAGTGTGCTGAGCGGGCCAGTGTTTGGAATGTCTTTGTGAGTGTGTGTAGATGTTAGTGTGTGTAGATGGTTAGGCTCCTTCGTCATACTCTGTGTAAATGTTTGTGTAGTCATATTTTCCGTGTTTTCGTTAGCCTCACCGTTGGAAGCTGTGTGAACTGTTTGCATATGGTAATCACTCTCTTTGATGTTTGAAATGATATTTAGAATTAAGAGTCCGACAACCTGTTGTTCTGTTATTGATAACAATTAATATCCCGGCACATTGCGTGTGCAGCTTTCTCCTAGCACTATAAATACACTAGTGTAAAGTTAAACCAGTTGCACGTGTAACGGCTCTGTTGCTCGAAATAGCTCTAGAGAGAGAGTCTGAACTTAGTGAGATAGTTAGTTAGAGTCTGCACTTCAGTTTATGTTATAGCTCTCTCGCTATAGTTCTGCAGAATCCTTGCTTCTACAAACAGTTCCTCATGTCAATGATATTCTTCCTGTTCTGTCGTTTCTTGTTCCGCTCTTTACCTGATTAATCCCAAATAATGGACATGTCTTGATGCTACTTTAAGAATTGCGACATGACGTAACTTATAGTGTTCTAAAATTCCTGCTATCAACTACCAGTCGTTAGTAATAGTTATAATTTCCTTTAATGGGAATTTAATTAGTGTCTACTTTCACTCCCAGTTATACTTAACAACATATCTTTATTGCAGTGTAAACGAAGCTGTTTTGAAACAGTTTAAATTCTTTTATAACCACCGATAATTTAAACTACACACTCTCTATACTACATAAGATAATAGCAGCTATTAAACATGACCGTGTGTATAATAGCTTTGTAACAGTGTACACTATAATACATCATACAACTTGCATGCCACTGTTTCTAATCTTTCCTTATAAGGACTGATAGGACCTTGGTACTAACGTCTGTTATTTATCGGAGTCTTCTCGTTATTTTCTATCATGTTTTGTAGCTTGACATTTCTGTTGTAGTCATTGACGTGTCTGTAGTCACTGAATCGTTGGTTTACAGCTGAGAGCTTTTTGTTGTTGATAAATTACAAGATTTGGAGTATCTGAGAGTCTATTCCACCTAGAACCGTGTCATATCTTTATTTCATTAATCAAGAACTCGGCAATGTGCCAGCAAGGTATATACTTATATAGATCACTGTGACATAGATGGTGCTATTCAGAGGAGATTGAGTTCACGACACGTTAAGGCTTGGTTCGTTCTTAGTTCTATTCAGTGTAGCGCGTTACTTCTATATATTACATTTTATATCCTTCTTTTTTTACTGTTCTTAAATTAGGGTCATATTTCCGGTATGTTTGGATCTAGCTTTATCTCTAGATAATTTTACATGCAGATGTAGCAACTCTAGGTTTATCTATAATAATTGCTACATTCTCCTTTGGCTACGTTTGAACTTGTAATCCTTGTACATTGTACAGTAAGCTGTGATTTACTAAAATATGCCTACTTTATTTACTTATATTTACTAATACAACTACTACCTAGTACTGTATTTGTTTATTGGTTTAGGAAACCACACGCTCATGTCTAACTCACACTCACACTGCTACTAACACACTGCTACTTGTATATCTCTTGCTGACTTATTTCTGCATCGTCCGTATGACATAAGATTCCGTCATCATATCAGTAATCAGTAATAATAATCTCAAGATGTCTGTGTGTCTGTCTGTGGGTAATTTCCGAATGGCTTAATCAAGAAATTGGTATGAGTTACGGGGCTGATTTTTTCGATATAGTACCGACAACACTCTGACCAAGCCAAATGATTAAGGTTTTTTAAATCGGCCAGTGGTAAGTGGCTTCATTGATCATTTTGTGACCCAAATGTGATACTAAAGTGTGTGTGTGTGTGTGAGTGTGTTTGTGTGAGTGTTCTCTCGCTCTCTCTCTCTCTGTCTCCCCTCATCACATATTTGCTATATAATTAAGTAATTTGGCCGTGTATACCTCAAGAATCAAGATTGCCTATCAAGTATTTGGTTTTGGTTTGGTTTTGGCTTATGGAGCTACACGCCACTTATGTCCAATGAAGGACTTCTAGGCAATGTGCTTGGTTGTGGGATCAAGTTTCTAGTATTACTATAAATTTTCCTTCTGGTTGGTAATATACTCAATGATGGGAGTATAGTGTATTGGCTATGCCCCGCTTACTAGTTTAGCTCTTTCTAGTCCCCTGCTACACGGCATGTAAACAGGGATTGGCTAGTTAGAGGCGGTCCGTGTAGGCCTTACACTGTGCTTTCAGCAATACTCATAAGATACATGAGGGGCACTCAGAATTAAATTGCGGTCTGTTCGGACTGAGCGAGTTCATACTTTCCCACCGTTTTAACTATGAAAATGTAATGTGTGTTTCGAATATTATGATAGGCGGGTTTATACTTTTGCATTTCAACTGCGATAGTGAAGTCCCGGCCGTAGGCACGGGTTACACTAGTAACATACATAAAACATTACTGGATTTGAGGGAGAGGAAAAGGAGAGGGGTTTCATACATCCCAGAACTTTGAGTTTCGCACCAAAGCACGTGCAATATTCCTCCTATTTGTTTTTGATAAGTTCCCTACATGAGATGTCCTTGTTAGCATGTTAGGACATGTTAAAACTTGTTTTTTCTCATCAGTGTTGTTGTAGTCACGACCTTTTACCATGTATCACATTTCTAATGATAACAAATGGCAATCCTATCAGAGTTGTTTTGAACTAAATATTGCTCATGCAGTGAAGTGTCCCTCCAATATACCAGTGCAGTATAACTCGTGTCATTATTATGAAATGGGCCTGCAACCTCTTTTTGTTCTGTTACAGCTGTTCTGTAAGTTTTGTTTTCTGATATCTGATGTACTTGTTAGTTGTATTCTGTTGGTCTTCACAGAGACCTGAAGTTATCTCTTATGGTTTTTGTCACCGTATTACTCTATAAATTGTCATTTACCCCCTCGTTTTCTTGGATTATCGTAATTTTGATCGCTTATTTGAGATCTGAGAATAACGTTTACCTGCCAAATAACAGAATGTAAAGCTTTCAAAGAAACCAAGTGAACAAGAGTGAAGGAGGGATGTTGATTTTATATTACCTGACATTACTTTTACTAAAATGTAAGTAAAACAAAAGTGAAGGAGGGATGTTGATTTTATATTACCTGACATTACTTTTACTAAAATGGAAGTTACAAAATACTTGAGAACGTTCTGGAAATTGTTGTCAGGACCACAAACTCTTTTTGTGTGGGAAATGATTGCCACAGTTGTGCCATCGTTAAATGCATGACTTAATCTTTATATGTTTTGTTCTTAAATGTTGATACATTTATTCTCTAATTCATCCCATTCAACGAAAATCGACATCGAGAATTACTAATTAGTGAACCTACGCCCACGTGACACGGCATAGCTGGTGTTATTTTGACCGTCGCGCGCTGACATGCTCTGGTGACAGCAGACATTGTGACTCATTGCACATAATATATGGTCTGATTATATAAGAGGTCACATTATCATTATTATTGACTGCAGTAATCCAAAGGTTGCGTGAGATCTACGCGATTTGATAATAGCAAACTTGTAAAGTTTCGTAGCCTATTTCAGCGAAAGTTATTGGTAACGAAACGTACTATATTATAATATATATATATATAACGTTCTGAAACTCATTCTCGTTAAATCTCTTAGTAAACCCGAAACCGTCTATTTATAGATTATTTACCCGTATAACTAATAACTATGTGTGTTTCAGACGGGGAAGGAGTGCGGGTTGAGGCTGTAGAAGGAGATGTTGAAGCGAGGTACGGGACATTTGTTACTATCAGTGTAACAATACAGAGTGATCCTCATCCTACTTTAGAGGAGATAACCTGGTACAAGGTAATTAGTTAATTAGGTAATAAGTATAATTAGGTAATTAGGCAATTAGTTAATTAGTTGATTTGGTAATTAGTTAGTTAGTTAGTTAGTTAGTTAGTTAGTTAGTTAGTTAGTTAGTTAGTTAGTTAGTTAGTTAGTTAGTTAGTTAGTTAGTTAGTTAGTTAGTTAGTTAGTTAGTTAGTTAATTGTGCTCCATGTATTTATCTACAGTGTTGTTATATGAATATATCGGATAATTATTAACTATCCTCACTAGTGTGCTTGTTTGTATGCGTGTTTTAATCGTGACATGTCAGAGAATACAGTCTGACTTCATCTAAGTACAGTTCATCTGAGATCTTTGATACGTTTAAAATCGATCTGTATGTCAGTTAAGAGGACAACCTAAAATATTTGTATTATTTGTATAACAAGATGAATATATATATATTTGGTTCAGATATGTTCTCCAAAACCATTTGCCAATTAGGTATCAACGTCATCTTATTTCAGGGAGATTTAGACACAAAAGCTTCAGGAGACAGGCTGACGGTCGGAGGTAAGGGTACAGAGCTAAACATAGCACTTACCAGAGCCTCTGACTACACTAGTTACATCTGCAGGTTCTTTGAAATTTAGTTTTTTTAAATCTAAAACTTATTTTACTTCGAACATTCCTACAGCCACATTGTTACACAAGTGTAACCAGCCAATTACAGGAAGCCGAAATTATTTAATTATTTTTATTTATTTATGTTTATCTATAACTTTTTGTTCATTAATCATCATTCTCTGTGAGCTGACTCAACCATGTTTGTGTAATCCTTTATATCATCAATCAATCTTATTAAAGTTAATTAAATTGAATTAGTAAATCATTAAAGTTTATTAATATTCAATATTTATCACAGAGTGTCGGGAGGCGAGAGTCTCTGCGTGGACTGTACGGACTGTGCAGGGAAATGTGCTATCTGCTGTGCAACTGTAACCTTATCCGCCATAGGTTTGTGGGGAGCACCTAATCCACAACCTCCAGAAAATATAAATTATTTGCTCACAATCAATCATAAATTAGCCATCACTCACACGACTGTACATATAAATTCAATATTTTTAAATCTTTGTTTTTTCATCATTGTTAAGTGAGTTAACATAGTGGCTCCTGAAACATTCCAATATTATCACAGAGCAATCCGGTGCGAATATAGAAGTAGCAGCGGTTAAAGCTCTCTACACGGTTGGGGAGAAGGTTGAGGTTACCTTCACGGATCGGGGGAGTGCCTTCTCAGTGGATCAGATCACGTGGTATAAGGGTGTCTACCCTATATCTACAGGTTAGTGTAGAGTTTAAGTTTGTAGAGTTTATCCTCCTCCTCTTCCTCTTCTTGTCCGAGAAAGTGTTCCAGCTCTTCCCTCGGTCGTATGTTGATTATTCTAGAAGTTCCTAGCAACTCGCATATTGAGCTAAATAATGATCTAAACTGAGTTGGATAATTTTTAACTAATTCTCCTAATGATTGATTAAATAATCCTAATTAATTAATTAATCACCTAATTGACCCAGGAGGAAGGTATACAGCGGAGAAACTGAGTTCCACGCAGTACAAACTAACAATTGAGAACAGTGATGCTAATGACAACGGAGTGTATGCTGTCGTCTACAAGACTGATAACAATGGGGCTCCTTCCTCCGGTCGGTTTTTGGAAACACTCTAATTTACTAACTTATTTACTCACGTCTCACTCTATACTAATTTACTCAGTTTTTTTGTTGTTGTTGTTGATTATTTACAGAATTTTATGGATTAAACTTTAAAGTTGTATGGCTGTTGAAACTAGTTTGAAAGATAATCCAAACGAAATGTTTGCTTGTATAAAGAAACTAGACAGATTTTTCTCAGGAATCAAGGAACTAAACGTGAAAGTGCTGGGTGATCCCATGGTGACGGTAACCCCGGAAACAGCTCTAGTAACAGAAGGAAGTGACGTCACGTTTACCTGCTTCGCAGCTGCTAGTTCTGCTGCTCTCACATACAAGTGGGAGAAAAACGGAGCTGTTATAGCTGGAGAGACTGACCACAGGTTACAGTTGCTTTTATAATCACAGTTTGTTCGTGGCATTGTAGATTTCGTTTTTTTTTTCTCCTGGTGGTTGATAGGCTCAGGGCCTTAACAATTTGAACCCCAAGCAGAGAACCGAAGTTGGATTCTCACTTGAGTGGAGGAAATAAATCATCAAACTTCGGTGTGGAGGGAAAAAACCGATCAATATTCAATACTGCTGATTAATATGAACATGATTACCCACGCATAACAATACTCCGCTTGCAGATTAACGATAACTGATGCAAAGCACGAGAATGCAGCCGAGTACAAATGTACGGTGTCGTTCACGGAGGGGAGGGAGTACACGTCCACTGCTATAGCGTACCTGGTTATCAACGATGACGTCACACTGGAGGTGTTGACTCCGTTTGTGTTGGCTGATGTGACTAACGCACAGGCTTCTTTGTCTTTTAGAGGTCAGTTTCTTGAAGACATTACGTTGGTTCTGATCAATACTATTTTTAAATGTATCATTATATTTATATCAGTAACTTTTTTATACCAACAATCACAAAACCGAGCCCTCCTGGCAGTAGATAACCCCGTGTTTCCCCCCTCAGTCACGACACGTTCTCAAGGCCAAGTTACAAGTGGTATTGTCACATGGTACAAGGATAACAACGTGCTACTGGAAGGGGATGGTATCTCGTTTGCTAGCGCCAGGAGCAACCTTCTTATATCCAACCCTACTTCTGCTAACGAGGGTAAGGACAATTGGACTCTTAATTGTTATTAATTAATTAGGGCTAATTAGTTTTAGCTGATAGTTCTTAACTTTAACTTGATTATCTTCATTACACCGTTTACGTAGGTTAAATCAACGTTTTTATGGACAAAGCTCTATCTAAATCTATCTTCTTCATTAATGAGCTGAAAGTTAACATGTGTAAATACCAACGTCTAGTAAGCTGTTTAAGAAACTAACCAGTACTACACGTCTTGTCAATTACAGTAAAACTCCGATTTACCGCGGTCATTTACTTCCCAAAATAAGGTTTAACCTATATATAGGTTATATATAATTTGAACAAACAAAATACTGATTTACAGCGGCTATTTCCTTTCCCTCAAATTCCACGGTAAATCGGGGTTTTACTGTACTAGCTACAATAAATAATAATAAACCATGTCCAGGTAACAGTAATTAATAATTATGTCACGTGTCCTTATGTCCTAGTAACTATAATAACCTCGGTCCAGGTAACTACAGAGTGATGGTGGAACTAACCACAGTGACCCTGGAGGGTTCCATGCAGCTAGCTGTCACGTCAGCTCTCCCCTCGGTGGTATTCAGTGAGACCACGTATGTGGGGAGGAGTGGCGAGCAGCTCATCGTCAACATAGAAGTGGGAGGTCAGTGTTTGTTTGGGATAAACTGTTAATTTATAACTGTACGTATAACGATACTTTTGATAACTTCAACATTCTGTTCATTACCGTCAACAATCAGGAGTGCGTTTTAATTTGCGTGTATATATTTTCAATTTTAGAGTTATGTGAGTTATTAAGAATCGCAAACTGCACCAAATATTTTGACCTCTTACCGATCTAGCAGATTCATGCTTAATCGCAGGGTCCTCTGATGCATGTTAACTTTAGAGAGAAAAATTATTTAATGAGGTGTACATTGTACACTTGACAAAATCACAGTGCTTTGTAACTGTATCCACTCCTAACTTGTTTCCTCCTTCCAGGTAACCCTGTGCCAGAAGTGTCTCAAATAGAATGGTATTTGAACAATGTTAGACTCTACCAGGGAGACTCCAATGTTAGATTCTCTGACAATTACCTCACCCTCTACCGCAGTCAGGTAACTCCGGTCACCTTAATTGTAGTCACGTCAAAATAGCGAGAAGATCTTAGCGGCTTAAAGTATAAACTATTTAATGGGGTAACCAACCTTCAACACCCTAATTCCATGGTAGAACGTCTGAAAGTTTGATCACAATAGTCATTTCAACCCACTTTCCCCGCCAGATGACGGCCGCAGAAGGGGGCCTGGTAAAAGTAGCTGTAGAAACGAGCGCAGGTAGAACAGAGGAGACAGCAGAAGTGGTGGTCATCACCCAGAACGACATCCAAGAGCAGCGGTCCTCGGAGAACCAGCTGCTGGGAAAGAGTCTGGTGCTGACTGTGGAGTTCCATATGATGCCTTTACCTGTGGAACAGAACGTACAGTGGACTCATGCTAGTGAGATCCTCACCGACACTGACCCTAGGTGAGATTACGTATGGAACGAAGCCTGATAAGTCGTGCCCTGAGTCTCTGTAAGATTGGGAAACTAGAATATACTAATATATTATAGTTACAAAACCCCCAGCAACAACAAAAATAACAACAAAGCTCCCAACAACAACAAAAATAACAACAAAATAACAACAAAACCCCAAAAACAGCAAAAATAACAATAAAACGCCCAGGATTGAGTTCTACAAGTCAGGGAAGGAACTGCTAATAAAGGACGTCCAACTAGCAGATGCAGGACAGTACAGGATCACAGTCAACACTCCTGGTGGTGGGGCGGTCTCTAAGGGACTGCTGGTAAACATCAGGACATTAACCGAGAGACTGGAGTTCTCAACCAAGCCCACTGAGGAAGTTACTGTGGACGAGGGAAGCAAGGCTGTTATTTCTTGTGATGTTACAGGTAGGGCTTGACTTCGTCTATGTAGTGAATTTATCATGTATAGTGAATTTATCATTTTTAGGTTTTAAAATTAAATTAGAAGGATATAAGATAGATATAATTTCTAAAAGTATTACAAATGATTGCTTTTTTTGGAATGTTTCTAATGAAGTTTTACTAAGGATTGAGGGAGCCAGTTATGTCAGTAATAAAGAGAAACATAACAATTATCTTTGGTTTCATCCTTATGTGGCAAAGAAGCGTTTTATAAATCTTTATTCCACTGGAAAGTTTTTTAAATAGGATAATGTTTTTGATAAAATTGTTTTTAAATATTGTATTTGATAAATAATTAATGTTGGTGGGGAAATATTTATTATATATTTTTTCACATAGTGCGATGATATTTTGGAGACATGTGTGATGATATGATGTCATAAATTTTACTTTACTTTACTTTATTGAACGAAGAGAATAAAAAACTTTTTTGTATATCACGTCTCTAAAAAATTGTGTTTCACCAGTCTTCTCCTGAAACAAAATAAATTCTCTATGTTCTCTAAATTCCGCTCCCTGTACCACCGCAACCACCCAACATCTCCCAGGTACCCCCTCCCCGACCATACAGTTCGAGTACAAGAACGGGACACAGATCAGGAACAAGGGACGGTTCTACGTTACCTCCACCACTCTGGAGATATGGGCAGCTCGGGTCAGCGATACTTCCGAGTACAAGTGTCTGGGACAAAACGGAGATGAAACCGTCACAGCCAACTTTAAAGTCACGGTCAGTTAAACTAAATCAAGCTCTAAGGGCTTATTCTTTTTTCAAAGGTTAAATTTGTATACTTGATTTGTCTATTTCACTTATTTATATTGTTTCAATCGTAATCAACCCTATCACATTCAAAAACAAAGACACATTCTTTTCTATAGAGATATGACAATATTGATATAAATCTTATCAGGTGAACCAGCGAATAGTTATCCTAGCAGAGGCAGACCAAGTTCAGGCTACGATAGGAAGCACAACCGCTTTCACTGTCTATGTGACTCCAACCAACGCTAAAATTACCTGGACTCGACAGGGTGAGTTCAGTTGACACACTTTTTTTGCTGACCTCTTATACAATTTATGTTCCCCGTGTGCTGTATTTATATAAATTTTCGGTTTCGTCGATACTTTTGGCCTCCTGAATTCTGATCATAATCAGACTTATAACTACTTGATATCCCCCGGCCCCAGCCCCCACACCTACAATTCCCTCTCCACTAACAACTCCACCCCCCGGCCCCCTCACTTACAACTCCACCTCCCCCCCCCCCCCCCCCCCACTAACAACTCCATCCCCCCCCCCCCCCCCGGCCCCCAAACTTACAGCTCCGGCCCCCAAACTTACAGCTCCGGCCCCACTAAAAACTCCACCCCCGGCCCCTACTTACAACTCCCTTTCCCCAGGAGTATTATTCCCGGAGAGTGACGGAGGACACTACGACGTAGAAACAGATGCAGCCTACAACAAGGACGGGGTAGTGTACAAGAAGGAAGTACTGACGATATCCCGGGTTCAGAGTTCTGATCTGGGCGAGTACGAGGCTACAGCTAGTTATAATGACGACCGGTATATCAACAAGGTGGACTTGAAGCTGACTAATGTGGGATCCACTGTGGTCAGTGTGGGATATTATTGTTTTTTTTTTGTGTTCTTAATTTAATTTAATGTTTTATTATCCATTTTGTTAAGGAATTACTTTAAATAGAAATTGACTGTCTATAAAATGGAAAGGATTCATGACCTTTAACAACAAGAGTTGTTCATTACCTTTTTTACAGGTTTCAGTAACCGTCTCAATTTCCCAGGTCTCTATAACCGCCTCCACGAGTAACATTGAAGTTTACGAGGGTAGAGACGCTAAGTTCACGTGTTCAGTTAGTATTGATCAGAGCACCATTACGTGGACTAAGAACGGTGTGGACGTTACATTGCTAGATGATAGGTTCGTTCTAGTGCCAGCCGTTGTTTTACTGAGGCTGATTACTGAGGTGTTAGTGATGAGACTTATGGATTATGGCTCTGTTATAAAAAAATCCGTGGATTTTATTGTTTATCTTAAAATGTTCTATAGTCTTTACTTTATTTCAACTCATTAAACACATGATTGATTCACTTGCTTTTGATCTTTAAACATATATCTTTAAACTACAAACCTTAAAATAATCCAGAAAACACACCTAACAATTGTCTACCTTATCTAACCCCCTGCCTCCCTCAGTATAAAAGCCCGTTACGTGTTATCCAACTCCAAACAAGACCTAACAGTCCAGCAGACAGCTCCTCTAGACGAAGGTCTCTACATGTGTCTAGTTACCAGTACCAGCTCGGGGAGTGACCAGGCTTCAGCTACCCTTACTGTTCTTCCTCCTATAAAGATAACAGAGTATCCTACACATAAGAGGATACTGGTGGGGACTGGGAGCCAGTTCCAGTTGAGTGTTAAGGTTAGTCCAGTTGGAGGGAATCAGTGGGAATTAGGATCATTTGACTTATTTAATAATTTTAACACTATTTCCGATACAATTCTAATTTTGTATCTCCTTTCAGGTGAATACAGGTTCAGAAGCTAAAGCAATAACCTGGAAAAAGGACAATGTCCAGATAAATGGGGACACAGAAATGATCACCCTGAGCGTACCATCCTCACCAAGAGTTAATTCATTTACCGTCACTGCTTCTCTCTCCAGTTGGTTAGTTATATCTTTAGTATTTTGTTGTTCAAACTGAGACCCCTCCCCTAGATATGTTCCATGTGAATTTATTTGTTGATCATTATTCTTTATTGAAAGTTCTTAAAAAAGGAACAATACAACAACAATGTGCACATATTATAATAGATAGCACTACTGCAATCTTACTGACTTGTAATATATATAATATAACTAATAACTAATTAATAACTAATTAGTTACTAATGACCAATTAATAAATAATTAGTAATTAACTAATAACAAATTAGTAACTAATTAGTAACTAATTTAGGTTGAATACGGGTGGGAAGAGTGACACTGCGAATATCTACGTGACAACGTACGGAGCGTCTGAGGTACAGGCGGCTGTGGTTATCCAGGCCCCAGAGGATCAGACTGCTATATTAGGTTAATTAATTAATAATTAGTTAATAACTTACATCTTATAAATATGTATTCTAAAATTAGGGACAATAGCAACTCCCCGACAATATCCTGTACTTTGAAAAACAGCGCTCTTTTATTTTAATAACTCCTTTCCAGGCTCCACGGTGACATTTGAGTGTGTAGCGTTTGGAATACCCGACCCCACTGTGAGATGGACCAACGGATCGGCTGACATGGACACTTCCTTCTTCTCTAACAAGTACACGGAAAGGGGAGTCGAGAGTAAACTCATCATATCCAACATAAGATCCTACTATCAAGGTAAAATTATCGCCAAAATGAGTGATAAATCTTGCTGCCTGGGTACATTTATCATCTCCAACATCACTCGTGTCATCCGTCACTTGAATTTATTGCTGTCAAATAATCTGGCCTGCATTATTTACCCTTATCAGTAGATCACTTGCAGACCGATATATGTCATGACCGATAAATTTTAATACTGTGAATTGTTAATTCTAAAATGTGTTAATCTTCATCACCTTCGTCACCATCAGGAGAGTACAGGTGCAAAGCTGATAACTTGAAGGGGAGTATTCAGACGAAACCGGTATACATGGAGCTGATCAACCCACCCAGCATCCGACTAGTGGACTCAGTTTATTACGGCGTTCCTGGTTAGTCAAATACAAGGAAATATTTTATTCGCTATTAACTTAACTTGAAACAGTCTCAGGGTCTCTACTCTCTTCTAAAAACGTCTAATACCTCGTTAAACTTTGATTTCTCGCCAGGTAAGGAGCTCGTGATACCAATGGAGGTGGTGTACCAGAACCAGATTCTCAAATCCATGACCAAGTGGTTCCGGAACGGCGAACAGCTGGTGGAAGAGGTCGGGAAGATAAGTTTCAGTGGTGACGGTACAAGCCTGGTTATTGTGAATGTGGAGAGTAGCAGTGCGGGAACTTACAGGTAATATTCTTCGTCTGTATTTACATTTTACATTCACTTTAACATCCACTTCATCCAAACTGAGGGACGGTAGGAACATGGATTTTTTTAATAATTTCAAGGTTTTTACTTTTATAGTACATTACAATTAGTACTATGCTCTTCACTTTCTATTTTTAAATGTTCAATAAAATTTAGTAAAATCCCTAACCACCTGAATATTGCACAATAAATAGGTCTTATGGAACTAAAATAAACCCCCTTCAGTTTCACAATAGAAACAGAAGCAGGAAGTGCCAGTACCAGTACCACTTTGGAAATAATACCTAAGTACATTGAACCCACTGCAACAATTCCTAAGTTCTTCAACGATGTGGTGGCTTACAAGGGCAGTGTGTACTACCTCAAGTGCAATGTCGCTGGTCAGTTTAGATGTCACTTGTTATGCCACGTTCTGTGGATTATTGTTTGGTTATTATTTCGTCCTTTTTGCTTTCATTGGTTGTTGTAAATTTTGTCTTCCGTCAAAGTTGCTTGTTAATTTTACGAGTTGAAGTTTTGCGTATTTTATTGAATTCCATATCACCTAAAATTAACAATCATTGTATTAACAATCATCGAATTCCCACATCCAGAAACACGCCATCTCGCCAGGCAGCCTGGGAGGAATTTTTTTTTTGGGAGGAAAAACGGGAGAAAAAGAGGAAATTTTTGAGAAGTTACTGCTAAATTTCGAAATATTTTTTTGGAATGAAGACAAATTAATTGAGGAAATTTTTAAAGAAAATGTTTCGATTGTATAAAAATCAAAGAGGAACATCCTGTCAGTTTTGGAACACAGTGAAATATTCTGATTGGAGAATGCAGATTGCTGTTGTGAAGTTATCAAATTTACGTGAGTACTTGATTCTTTTCAATCCCAGTTTATTGCTGTCCTACAAATTTCTTTAATGCCAAATGCCGTCTAAAACACCCTATTTCGCAAAAAATTTCCGGGGGGCTATGCCCCCTAGCCCCCGCCAAGGGGCTTCGCCCCTGGACCCTGCTGGGGGTGCGCCCCCAGACCCCTGCCACAGCTTGCTCGCTTCGCAGCTGGATTGAACACGTCGACTTGCTTCGCTCGCCGACAGCCCCCTCCCCAAACTTGCGAGCGAAGCGAGAGGGCCACAGAATTTAGAAAAAAACGCATCTGGGAGGAAATATGGATGTGGGATCGAATTAGTAATAATCATTTTAAATGTTACCTCAAATCCTACATGTATTTTCAAATGCTACGTTGCCAGGCAAGCCAGTACCAAAAGTAGTGTGGAAGAGAATGGACAACAAAGACAACCCAAATCCGTATACAGTGCATGATGAAACCAGGGCGTACAGCGTGCAGCCTGATTCCACTCTCAAGATAAAATCTGTTAAAGAAACTGACGCTGGAACTTGGACGTGAGTTTGTTTTTCCCACCTTTTTTCTAGTTCATGGTTTAGTGGATAACGCGTTTGGGATCTGTGCGAATTTAAAAACCTTTTGTTTTTACAACCTCTTGGAAACTGCATATTTTTAGCTGTTTAACCATCATTATTATAATATACTAATATTTGTCCATAAATTCTGAACCGATATAGAAGTGCATAATCTTGATATGTTTCCATACTAAATCTCGCTTGAATGACTAAAACGTTAATCTATCATTGTTTACACTCGTTACCAAACCCCTATTAAACCGAGTACCGTGTTGTCTCAGGTGCGTGGCAGAGTCCTACCCAGAGGGAGTGCTCCGACAAGACGAGGCCTCCCTGACCCTCCAAGTAGTGGACTGGTTGTACCGACCCTTCGTTTACCCCTACCACGGACATGAGACTATAACGGTGGTGTCTGGAGACACTCTGGAGGCTAACATTGAGGTGGGGAGGCGCCTGTAGTTTAGCTTTTTAGTTATTAAATACTTATCATCTGTTGAAGTGTTGAACTTGTTGACTTAACTTTCTAGACGAACGTCGTTAAAGACTGTAGGGCAGGTTGAAAGTATACATTCTGACTGATAACTTCAGGTGATGTACCGACATCAGATCCGAGCTCACAACATAGTTTGGAAACGTCTAGATTTCGGACTCACTGACTGGACCAAAGCTACTGAGCTGAACCTTGTTGATCCTGGCTACGATAATGTGGTAAGTAGTACATACATACCTTATACATACTACATAGTACAAACCATACACATTACATACCATATACATACATACCATCTGTCGAGAAGAGTGGACAGTAAATATGCTTTAATTAAATGTTGAACTACGGATAATTCCAGCCACTAACAATACAAATCAAAATGCTGCAAGTTTTTCCTAAATAAGCTGCTCCTGGCTCCACCTTATAATAAGAAACTGAGATTATTGAGGATTAACTGTACCTATCTCTCTGGAGTTCAGAAGTTCATCTCTTTAGATTATCACTATGGTAACTGGTAAGCCGCCAGTATTGCTAAATATCCACCCTCGGTATCTGTTCCAAACACCCAATACCCCGACCTCCCAGGTCTCCTTCGCTCGAGACAGAAGACAGCTCATGGTACGGGGGATCAGTAAGATGTACGAGGGACAGTACCGAGCGTACGTGAGAACTGTAGCTGGAGAGGCGGACACCACCATACAGGTACGTACCTGCATGCATTGTCCTAATAAAGTAATAGGAATCTCTCATCAGGAGGGAGAACTTATTTCAATAAAGTTTTCCTCAGCTTAATAATCAGAAGTCTGAATTTAAAATCTTTTAGCTTCCAAAAGCCATCAGCCACACAACAAAATTATCAAATTAGAAATTACAACTTAGTTTAAAAACTGAATGCTAACACCGTCCCGTGTAGGTGTACGTGATTAGCAGAGTATCTCCGAATGTGAGGTGGTTGGATACTATCGGGGGTATCTACTACACTGTTAACGGCGAGGAGGACTTTGTATTCAATGTCAACGTCACGGGTAAGTTCTGCACTTGCTGAGACTTGTAGTTGGAGTTAAAACAGGGTTGTTGCAGCCAATCATTAATGATGACATACCAAATTCATATATAAACTCGAAATACCATAAAAACAGTGTTCAATCAACCAAATTTTACACGTTAATGTTTGTTTGAATCGTAATTTTCCTTTCAGGTGAGCCGTTCCCAAAAGAGATCACGTGGTACAAGAAAACAGGGCAGGCTTACGAGGGATTGTATAACGGTACTATTGGTAACTATGTGTACACTATTGGTTACTATGGTGATATGTACGTTCAGAACCCTGACAAGAGTTCCAGTGGCTTTTACAAAATACAGGTTAATTTTAGGCCTTTTCATCCTCCTTAACTACCTTACTCGGGATTATTATAACCGGGATAAAGTGGTGGGTTTTGGAAGATTCCGCCATATTTTTCCCGGTCAAAAATTTTACCAGTCATAAAAAAACCCGCCGACTCAGATTATGGGGTTCCAAGGGGGTGGTGATCATCATATTTTACCTGAAGTCTCATATGTTCTAGAGAAGACTTTTGAAGCAGTGGATGGAGGGCTGTAAATTTATTGGCGGTTGCTACCATAATTTCGTTATAAAAATCACAATTTGGTTATAGAAATCAGATTTCAGGGTGGACCGTGATTCTCACTTTTCTTGCCCATGAAGTGAGTAAACTGTGCCACTATTTCATGGTCCACGGTGGATTGATTACTGGAGCAGTTGAAGATGCAAAGCCAAGACGTTCCCCAATACCAAGCGGTGGGCAGGAAATTAAGCTCCAGCTGACCTTCAGAGCAGTAGCCCCATTAGCGGACAAAATGAAAGTCTTGTTAAGACAACAATACAACTTCGAATTTGACGGTCAGCAGCAGGGGGATATCAATAATGATAATGGAGGGGACATTAACGATAATGAGAATGAGAATACGCTTTAATGAAGATTTGACTTATTATTGCTATAGATTTATTTTCCTTTAAATACTAGACGTGTCTTTTTTTCTATTTCTGAGTAATATCAGTAACTGTAAATTGAAATAACTTCTTTAACAAGTAACAAAAACAGAAATTTCGGTTGAAAATTTGTTGACCTCTGAAAAAAAACTTGAAAGGTCGGCCACCGGTAAATACATGACCGGGATAATTTGGCGGGTTTTGGGAAATTCCGCCATATTTTTCCCGGTTATTAATTTTCCCAGTCATAAATTAACCCGCTATAATATTCCCGAGTAAGGTAAGATGAATTTCATTTGTTTCACTTCTTTTTAGAAAATGTTAATAAAGCTTAACAATGCCAAAATGATAGTCTGATCGAAAATTATATTTGTTGAAATCCCATAACAAGCTACTTACTTTATCTTAAACCTGCTACCCTCCTAAATTAGTTGTCAACTACCACCCAAATAATGGTAAAAACTTATCTTTCCGGGAAAAATATAGTCTGACATTATCTTTAACCTCCCCCTTCTGTCAGGTGCTCCCTGAAAGAGGAGGATTAGATCAAATGGAGGAAGCCAGCGTGGAACTCGTTGTGAAGGACTACTACCTGGGCTTCCAGACAGCCCCTTACGTTGGAGGTATTCAGAAGATAGGGGTCCCTGTAACTATGGAATGTCTGGCACGTGGTGTCCCTGATCCAGATACTATCATGTGGTACAGGTAAATAGAGACGTGGTGCTCATGCGCGCCTCCGCAAAGTTATTTGAATGATAAATTAACATTTCACCCAAATAATGGTACATATTGACGAATTAGCAATTGGAGATATTTGATAAAAGCTATTGATTATTGATTAATAATCAATTCCTCCTGTTCAGAGGAATAACGAAGCTGTCCACTGCAACATCTCAACTAACGATCAGTTCTGTTAAGAAAGAAGATAAAGGAGACTACTACTGTGTTGCTTCTAACACCTACGGTTTGCTATTAACTCTTCTAACACCTACGGTTTGCTATTAACTCTTCTGTTTGCATCAAGTTTCCAAATTGTAAAATTTCATCTTTTTTCACAATTTTTGCATCGCGCTGAAATTCCAGCCTGGAACCGACTGTTACGTTACTTTAGTTCGGTTTAATAATCGAGACTTATCTTCTACGATTATTTCTAGAAAACCTTTTCCGTCTTAATTATAACCACTCCCCAGGAACCATCTACTCTCCACGCGTGTCACTACAAGTGCAGTATCTTGATGACGAGTTCGAACCTATAACCTGCTACAGGGAGGAGACGGTAGACGGACTGTTATCCCTCGCTCCTTGTTCACCCACCAACCTCATTGAGGGTCAGTTGTTGTCGCCTGTTACACTTAAACAGTTCTCTTTTATAAATGATTGTTATCATGCTGTAGATTTGTCATCGTTAGTAATAGTATATACATTAGACATATAACGAGTTTGATTACAAATACACTAGTAATTATGTCATCTCTATTATTGACCCTTAGTATCATTTTCTACTGTTCCAATATCCTTACGTGCCCCGTAAATTTGATGTGGAATGATTCTATTATATTATATTGATTAATTTTACATCTGATTTGACCCTGTTCCAGGTGATGTATTCACACTGTTCTGCAACGGACCAGACGGTTGGCCTTACCCCAAGACTACCTGGTACTTTAACGATGACGTCATAGCGAACAACGCCAACGGCTTGTCCCCAGCACCCAACCAGTACGGAGATCTGGTATTCCCCTGGGCTCAGCCGTCTAATTCAGGGAAATACACGTGCGGGTTGACCAACGATCAGGGTAGCAAGAGTAATTATAATCCGCTTTATGATGTCAAGGTTGCTTCTTCTGATGACACTAGCATTGACAACGCCAAGGGCTCGGAGTGGTGAGTTTCGTAAGATTTATTGTAATTTTATCTATTGATTTATACTTTTGTCCCCAAAAATACCAATTATATGATCGACCCACTCAAAAGGGCGAAAACAGATTATAATTTTATTTATTATTATTAATTTATTAATAATGCAGTTGAACATCAATAATGGGAGATCATCACATTTAGTATGAGAAATCTCATTAACTGTGAGGTGGAATGTGGAAACGGCGCGGTCTAGGGCTGACCTAAAACACGTTTATCTTATCTGACACATACCAGTCTAGTGTGCGATATAACTATGTTTTATCTGAACAGGTTGATACAGCCTGATGATATAACAGTAGCACAACACACGCCTGTTACTATAGCCTGCATGGTGTCCAGTTATCCTGAACCATCTTACGAGTGGACCTTCAACAATCAACCCCTGCAGAGTGAGTGTAGCGTAGGTTCCAATGGTGAAAAATTGTGAAAAATAATGAAATTTTACAATTCGGAAACTCGATTTACCATAAAAATCATTCGTCATTTTTCACCATTTGCATGTTTTAATCTCGAAATATCAAATTGAAATATTAAATTTGTACTTAGGTACTATTAAACAATACCGAGAGCTCAGTTTCGATGCACCTTACTCTCCATGTTCGCCAAAAGTTACTAGTTTTGATGTACCTTTTTCATCATGTTCACTAATGGTTTTGATGAAAATGGCAATGATTGTTTTGGCGAGTCGAGTTTCCAAGTTGTAAAACCTATACTTGCTTTAAATATAATGAAACACATGTTTAATTGTTTCTCAAAATCGGAGTTAATAACCAAATATTGTTTTAGAATTATAACGCAAATATGCTCCAAAAAAAATTTTTAATTTGGATACTCAATTCACCATAAAAATCATTCACCATTTTTCCCCATTAAATCTCACCATTATATTAAATTGATGTCTGTCTAGATAAAAACTAAGTTAGAGTCAGCCCATGTAACAAATATTGTTAGTGCAGTCTTTATTTGTCTCACATAGCAATGCTGCAATCTGGGAGGGGTTCTACTGATCTTATCTCAAAGTACGCTACGGGTTTTTTTTCTAGTATAATCAAATTCTGTTTTAATTATATGGCTAGAATGTTGGTATAATAATAATAATTTCCACTCAAGTAGCTCAATCCTTTACTTCCTGGGCTCCGATTTCTGAGTTCTGACACTGCAATTATGAATAGTTTCATACCTACTCACAGCACATACTTTCAGTGATTTTATCGTGGCCACGATTCGTGGCTAAAGTTAAAAAATATTTTGAAGATATCAGGAAATGAAGTTACACTTACATCTGATAAAGATAACACTATACAATATATTTTGCAACCTTTTGTTACCGTGTGGGAGCGATTTATGCTGTTAAAAAAACACTCAGCCCATTTAATTACAATATTGTCACACACCGGTTACTGTAAGGGATCAAGTCAATAAAGTCAATCTAATGGGAAGCAACATTACCCATCATTAGACAATTAATTAATTAAATAACGCTAATCCCCTAGATATTCCCGGGGTTACTAAAGAGCTGTCCTTTGGTAAGCGCCTCCTTGTATTCGACCTTATCAACGAGAAAGCAGATGGAAAGTACAGCTGTAAAACCTGGGTTGAAAAGGACGGCAAGAGAACGGAAACTAAAAACGCCGATTTTACTCTGACAGTGGCTACTAGACCATCATTTGTTGATGCTCCAATATTCCAAGTGGGAAAAATTGGTAGGTGGCAATTTTTCGACTTCACATTAGCGGTTGTGGGGCCATTTTATAGACATTATTCGATAAAGTTCCCATCACTGCTTTGATTATTAGATAAATGGAATAAGCAGCACAACGAACCTCACAAAGGTGTTTCCACTCACTTTTTCACTACTTAAATGTTTCTGACCCCACATTTTAACTACTTAAAGGTTTCTGGCCCCATTTTGCCAGCACTAAAAGGTTTCTGACCCCACATTGCCACCACTAAAAGATTTCTGACCCCACTTTGCCACCACTCTAGGTGACGAAACAGAGATAGATTTGAAGACACCTACAGGAAACCCTGTACCAACAGTTGTGTGGACGTTCAACGGTGAGGGTGTTCAACTTGAGGGCAGGTAAGCTACCAACAAATTATACTCACAAAACATTATTAACACTCAGACAAGTAAGGCTACGTGCAAAAATACCTGTAAATCGATATACTTGAGATTGGTACTCAAAGAACGAAAACAAGAGACGAGTCGGTCCTTAAACTTATATATACTCCAAAACTGCACCGCTCACCCTGCGTTATCTGTGCAGTGTACTGCACAACGTGACTCGCAGCCCCGCCAATGAGCTCTCGACTACCAGTTACCCTGTAGCCGCGACGACCAATCAGATGGCTGGCTGTTAGTCAAGAGCGGACCACTCACGCCATGCCAGTAGAGCTGCCAGCCAAACGATTACACTCATATGACGTGTAACTTCCAAAATGAACAAATAAAAGCATCGGTTATTATACACCCGAAAATATATATTAGATTCTACGTCCCTTAAACTTCCTTAAACGTTTAATACTATCATGCTAAAACAGAAAGATATCTCCAAAATACCATATAACAACACAAGAAATACATCACCGTGGAATCTCAATTATATAAGTATATAGTAGCTACAGTGAAATTTAGATTTTTGCTACTTTATTTCCTATTTTTAAACTCTAACAATATTTGCATCCTAAAATCTTGATAATTTATACCAAATTTCTTCTAAGGAAGTTTATGCGCCATGACAATCTCACTTATAGTAGCTACAGTGAGAGATTTAGAATGTTGCTACTTTATTTCCTATTTTTAAACTCTGCCAATATTTGTATCCTAAAATCTTGATCTTTTATACCAAATTTCTTCTTAGGAAGTTTATGCGCCATGACAATCTCACTTTTAGTAGCTACAGTGAGTTCTGGATAGTCGTGACTTTATTCTCTATTGGCATTACTTTTTCCTATTACAAGAGCTTTAAGAGAAAAATGGGAACATTGCCTAAACATATCAGAACGGTGTAGAATGTTTAATTTCAGGCCAATACAATACATACATTTATGATAATATAACAAGACACTATAATCCTCCCGTATCCTCTCCTCACTTTCCCTTGTACAGGATAAAGTTAGTGGACGGTAGAAAGTTACGGATAGACCCAACCCAGGCTGGCGACGAGGGAATCTGGCAGGCTACAGCTACAAACAAGGCTGGAAGCGCCCAACATGCTATCTATCTCAAGGTTTACTTAATTATTGATTACTTAAATATTTTGTTACTTTATATATTGAATAGTTTAATATTTTATTAAACGCTTTCCTTCGTAGCTTAAATTTAGATTATTTTGCAGAAGTGTTGAATCAAGAGACTGAAATATGCTGATTACACTTAGCAATATCCAATCACTACAGAGTACAGACAATTTACCTGAAAAATAGATAACATAAAGCATAAATCAAACGAAATTCTAACGATTAATCCTAATCATAACGAAATATAATCATAAATCTTCACTCCTTACAGATAGAAGAAAAGTTGGAGTTCACAGAGTCACCCTCTTCAGTATCCGGACCTGACTCATACGTACCCCAGTTTGAAACAGTAAAGTTCCCTTGTAAAGTTCGGGGCAACCCCAGTCCTCAGATTTATCAGTGGTACCGTCAGAAGCATCTAGACGAACCCTTTAATGGGTTACCAGCTCGAGCTTATATGGACGAGGAAAAGTCTCTCATTATACCGTTTGCTCAGGTGATCTCTCTGAAGATGTGGACATCTTCATTCTTATTTCTAGCTTACAGTGAATTTTAAATACGTGCATTTACCCAGAAATCAATGCCTGAATTTTAAGTCACTCGTAATTCGTAAATAACTGATCTAGATTCTAAATTTTAAATGCTCCCCTAAATTGTTTACTTTTTGGGAAAGCCTTCTACTAATTCGTCCTCTTTTCATCAGACCTGGGACAACGGAACTTACTTCTGTAACGTCACAAACGAGTACTATGAAGGGATCTCCGGAGCAGTGGTCCTCAAAGTCATACAACCGCCCAGTATATTCACTCCTCCTCAGGTAAATCTACTCCCAGTATATTCACCCCTCCTCAGATAAATACACTCCCAAACTATCCGAATTTCGCTTCTGTTCGACTTTACTTACAGATAACCTCTAAAATGTTTCTCGAGTCTTGGTGTTAAAATTAGTATCACTTAACTTCCCTGTAGAGCACAGACTGCAGACAGTAATTATATTGTTCTTATATAATGGTTCTTCTGGATGCACTGCAGGCTGCATCCGCTTAGAGTGTATATGCTATAAGAGATAAAGTAATAGGTTATAAATAACTTACTGTCACTTTTATTAAGAAACAAGTTATTAATAACCTACTGTCAGAAATAAGTTATCAATAACTTGCTATCTTGCTGCGTGCACATCTTACTATATATAAAGCGAGACGATATATATATATATGGATCCGTGCCATTTTACTGACACCACGGCATAAACTTTAACGCGACTTTCCGCAAAAACCGTAAAAGATATACAACTGAAACTTTTTTGACTGGGTCAAATGCCTTTATGCTTTTCAAATCAGCATGAAAAAATAAAAAATTGGCCAAGGAATAGGAGTTTTAGAGCCCAAAATTTGGATCCCCAAGTGGTGTCAAAAACGCGAATTAAATAGGTAATAATTATTTTAGTCTCTTGAGTCTTGACACCATTTTAGGGTTATACGGGTTCCTGCTAGTGTGGTCTAACTAATGAGCATGTCCGATATTTCATAATTCTACAGTAAAATAAACTTGTTATCTAAGATCGGGTAGTTGCAAACGATGGACCACAGAAAGTAGGCACAGAAAAGAGACAAGTGGTTAATATCCAGGCAAACACATCTATAAAACCCCCCTCACCCGGTATATCTTATGAAACTTAAATTAATTTATGAAGATCAGCCCTATATTGACAAGCCCTAAATTTCAGGACTTTAAGATTGAGAATTTCGGAGACAAGAGCTCACTATCGTGTCTTTGTGAACCACAAGCAGTAGCTATACAGAACTGCATGGTAGAGTGGAGACGTAATGGAGTTAAAGTAGACGACAGGGATACGTCTGTTAAAGTTATAGACTATACTTCAGGTAATATTATAGACTATACGTCTGTTAAATGTTATAGACTATACGTCTGTTAAAGTTATAGACTATACTTCAGGTAATTTTATAGACTATACGTCTGTTAAAGTTATAGACTATAAGACTATGCTTCAAGTAATGTTATAGACTATACGTCTGTTAAAGTTATAGACTATACTTCAGGTAATGCCCAAGAAATCATGATTCAGCGGTTAAATTTAATGTAGCGCTCGTAAAATATTCTACATATTATTTTTAAGGGTCAACTAAATAATAGACTAAATAGTAGACTACACAGTACACTGTTATTATGAAACTTAAACTTTACAATTTTCCTATTTCCCACAGTGCTGACGATACTTAGCACACAAGAAGGGCACCTGGGAGAATACGAGTGTTACGGACACAACAGTATAGGATCCGCCAGTGCGTTTGCGTTCATCACAAAGAGTTATACACCCTACATGACAACAAAGCCACCTGATACAGTCACGGCAGGGAGTAAGGTGAGCTAGAGACCTTTTAGCTTTTTAGAGACCTTTTTAGAGTTATTTTTAGAGTTATTTTGGAGTTCTTTTTAGAGTACTATTTAGAGTACTTTTTAGAAGACACGAGGGTGAAATTCACTTTCCTGTTAATTTAGTGGTGTATTTCTTGATGTAGAGTGTTGACATCTTTGAAAAAACCTGTAGCATCACAGATTCTGCGCTACTCCTGGACACCTTTTGCATACAGTGTAGGTGATGCAGTTGTAATCCGGAGCACTCTTCCCTTAAGCCTTAAATTAAAATAACGTCACGTGCACCACACTTTTCACTTAAGATACTTATTGGTACAACTAAATTGTAGGGAAATTGATCGTGCGTGGTGTAACCGCGGCGAAATTCTTGGTTAACCATCAAACTGGGGGTACACTACACTTTTTTGAATCATCCATTAAAAAAAGGCAAAAGTGTAGTGTAAAAAAGTGTAGTGTAAAATAGCCGAAAAAGCCTTAAAAAGTGTAAAAAAGCGACATTTTTTTCTCACCAAAGGTATGTTTTACTTTTGAAAATGTACTATGTGAAGACTGATTGAAAAATAATAGGGGAAAAAATTACGTAGGAAAAAATAAAAGGAAAAAATAATAGGAAAAAATAAAAGGAAAAAATAAGATTTATAGAAGATAATTTTGTTAAGTATAATTAAAAGTGTAAAAAATTGTACCTTTTTTACTACAATTTTTACTACACCATACATCAAAAAATGCAAAAGTGTAGTGTAAAATAGTTTTAAAAAGTGTAGTTCCCCCCATCAAACTCATTCTTTGTGATATAAGAGCCTCTTTACTGAAACCCTCCCCCGTGCTATAATAACCTGTACTCCACTAATTTCAGAGTTCAGTTAATCTGGAGTGCCATGCTATCGGGTTCCCTCCAATCAACTACATGTGGACACTTAACGAAATTCCCATACAAGACTCCAGGTTAGTTTCATGTTTTACTTTTAAAATCACACTTCAGGATCATCCGGGACTTGATAAAACTGGGGAAATTTAGGGTGAATCTTGTTAGAAGTAACACGTGGGGAGAGTTTCTCCATTTTCTATCTAAATTTGATACCACTAACATTAGCTGAGTCGCAACCGTTTGTTACCCCAGGTTCGAGATAACAAGCACGGGCACACTACTAATAGACGGAGTAGAAAGTAAAGACACGGGCACGTTTACTTGTTACGCTAGTAACCCATACGGGCAGGTCAGCGTTTCAACAACTCTGACAGTGGTCGGTCCCCCTACTAAACCTAGTGCTCCTTGGATATCTCAGATATCTAGAGACAGTGGCAACAACTTGTGAGTTATACTAGTAGGGATGTAATCGTGGGAAGAGGGGGTCCACCCAGAGAAATAGTCAAATAACCCATTTTTAGGGTCAGGCAAAATGGCCAAAAATTCCCCTCTTGCTGAGTGCTGACCTCCAGTCCTTAAATTACGTAATCTTAAAACTATCCTCTTCATTCAGATACTCAGCTATAGTTAATATAAACACGGATGGATACAGTTCAATCTCTAAACGAATCCTGACATTGAAGCAAACGGAGAGTGGTGTTACAACTACTATACCAACTACTTCGAACACCTATACTTTAAGAAACCTCGAGGCTAAACCTTATACTAGTATGTTTCGACTTTTTGAGAGGATTTGTTTTTTATATCGCAGATGTAAACATTTTCAGCTCGAGATTGGGAATCAGATGTCGATTAGTTTTGTGCTAATGTGTTAATGCAAATTGGCTGGTAATTTACCGATATCGTTGTTTTTATTACTTAGTTAACTCCTCCTGAACCTCTCTCTCTCCTTACAGTTTCGGTGGTGCTTCAGAACAAGTTCGAAGCCAGTGAGTCCAGTGAACCAAGCGGCAGGATCAACTTAGCCGACTATAATGATATTTTACACTCTGCTGTTGAAAGTAAGTATTCTTTAAGCGTATGTTAGCTGTTGTCATGATAACATCTACCTTACTCGGGAATATTATAGGGGGTTAATTTATGACTGGGAAAATTAATGACCGGGAAAAATATGGCGGACTTTCCCAAAACCCGCCAAATTATCCCGGTCATGTATTTACCGGTGGCCGACCTTTCAAGTTTTTTTTTCAGAGGTCAACAAATTTTCGACCGAAATTTCTGTTTTTATTACTTGTTAAAGAAGTTATTTCAATTTACAGTTATTGATATTACTCAGAAATAGAAAAAAAGACACGTCTATTTAAAGGATATAAATCTAAGCAATAATAAGTAAAATCTTCATTAAAGCGTATTCTCATTCTCATTATCGCTAATGTCCCCGCCATTATCATTATTGATATCCCCCTGAGCTGCTGACCGTCAAATTCGAAGTTGTATTGTTGTCTTATATTAACAAGACTTTCATTTTGTCCGCTAATGGGGCTACTGCTCTGAAGGTCAGCCGGAGCTTAATTTCCTGCCCACCGCTTGGTATTTGGGAACGTCTTGGCTTTGCATCTTCAACTGCTCCAGTAATCAATCCACCGTGGACCATGAAATAGTGGCACAGTTTACTCACTTCTAGCGGGATGTGGCCACAAGTTACTTTATCTGAACCACAATTTACCACTATAAATACAATAAACAAAATACTAAACACAATGTTTATACAAGAAACAGGGCTTGCAGAGCAAGGGAAGAAAAACAAGAGAAACAACTGCAACAATTGTATATCACCAAGTCCAGACCTAGATCCAGATCCAGATAATCATTACACAAATCTGACACTATTATTATTATGATATATATAATATTATTATTTTCTATTTATATATATATATTATTATCATTTTCGTTTTCTTCTATAACATATAAATTGTTTTCTTCTCTACGATTCACTGATTCATGGGCAAGAGAAGTGAGAATCACGGTCCACCCTGAAATCTGATTTCTATAACCAAATTGTGATTTTTATAACGAAATTATGGTAGCAACCGCCAATAAAGTTACAGCCCTCCATCCACTGCTTCAAAAGTCTTCTCTAGCACATATGAGACTTCAGGTAAAATATGATGATCACCACCCCCTTGGAACCCCATAATCTGAGTCGGCGGGTTTTTTTATGACTGGTAAAATTTTTGACCGGGAAAAATATGGCGGAATCTTCCAAAACCCACTACTTTATCCCGGTTATAATATTCCCGAGTAAGGTATTCGGCGAATTTTTGCGAATGACTTGCTTCTTAAGCGAAGTCTATTCCCGTTGTAGAACCATCTAACCGAAGAAAGATATCAACGCCCAATGCCCATCACCCTTCTTTCAAGTACGTGACAGTGGTACGTTACAGTGGTGAACTAACCAGCATCGACCACTCAAATCCCAGAACCACTGTCACGTGTCAAAACAGCCCCTCCCTCATGACGCTATCCCCAGATGTACGAGTAAAAGATAACAACGCCTACCTAGCGTGGGGCGGAGAAGAAGCCCAAGACACAGCTGACACACCCGACAGCTACAAGGTGTATATCAGTGAGGTTGGCACTTCAGATGGGAGGAGTTATCTTGGGTTGTCCACGGAGATGGAGTATGCTATTGATGTAGATAATACAGCCAGTTTGAAGCACTTCACCGAGTACTATTTCCAGGTCAGACATTATTTGGAGTGCTGTTCTGTAGATGATTGATTTGATTGATTTAAAACTTTTACAAATAGTACATATACAATACAGCAATGAGAAAATATACGACAACATGAGGTATTATGTTCAATGTTGGGTGAAAATTGTAGACCATATTGTATAATAGTATAATGCTAAATAAAGCTTTTTGTAACCCATTATCTTTTTAAATTTGCTTTTATTGTGATGTCGAATTTATGCTTTCCATTTGCTTTCTTAACTTTCTTAACATTTCATGCTAACCAAGTTGTACATTTTGAGGATTGCCACAAACCCTCTTCGGAACATTATCATGTTATCCGTTGTCTCCGATCTTATTCATTCCATAAAAAACTTACTCTGCCAGGTGGTGCCGGTAAAGAACGGAAAAGAAGGACTGTACAGTAAACCACTGCTAGTAAGAACCCAGCCCGCAGTCCCAGCAACACCACTAATAACAGCCTTCAACTATACGACTGTTCCTGGGGAGATCATTGTGTCCTTTGATAGAAAGTGGTCCATTTCCGGTGGCATTATCAAGGAATTTGAGGTTTGTTACTGGTTAAATAGTTAGATTCAAGAAGGGTCCGATAATTAAGATGTATAAAAGTTGAGAAGAAGATGTTGTCTGGTAAATAAATACCTAATACACTCTTTGTGATCACAAGGGCAATCATCCTGATTTGACTGTAGCTATTACTGTGTACCCCAGATTTTCTACGCCCGAAACACCAGCGACTACAATATCGGCACGAAGCAAGGCGTGCTAAGCCGGAAAAGGCGACAAAGTCAGGGAAGTGTCACGGCTGACTCGGCTGCTGTTAATATTAGGATATCTGATCTTAACCCGGGGGAGCCCTATATCTTCTCAATGCTCACTGTCAACGAGCTTGGGCTGCAGGTAACTTTCCAGCGTTTCTTGGTTTATGTCAGCTAAGCGGGGTGTATTACTCTCAAGAATATCTCTACCTTTCTAAACTTCAAAACTAACCTTGCTTTATATTATCATGATATTATGATAATACATCATTGTAATGATTACATAAATCACAGCAAAGCAGCCGAACACTTACACTGCATCAATACCATAAAATCACACGATTCTCATTGCCAGAGCGAGAAATCAGAAGCGACAGCAGCGAAGACGCAGACGGGACTACCAGGAGTTCCAACTATCACCAACCGAGACGGCAGTGGAAGAGACGCTATCCTGGTGAAATGGAGCGCTCCTACCATCACTAACGGACAGATTATGGGTTATTACGTGTATTACAGACTGGACAACAGTTTCAACGATGTGGCTGCCAGAGTCACTGCTCCTTTCAACAGGGTAATGATGTAATGAGCTGTTACTTTTAGATGTAGAGTTGTAGTTTAGAATTTAAGTGCAATTACAGACTGTTCAATGTGGAGTAATTACTTCATAACAAGCTGTAGTGCATAAGAATTAAGACGATATTAATTTGCTGAATCTAGTAGTATTAACAAGCTGACTGTTACAGTTGTACCAAAACGTGACTGGTCTAGAAGAAGGGTTCACGTACGAGCTGGCTGTTTCTGCATTTACAGAGGAAGGAGAAGGAGAGAAGTCCAGCTGGGAGGAAGCGAGGACTAGACCTAAATCAGTTCCTAACATCATGGAGACACCTGTTGTCAAGGTACTGTCTGCTAAAATGGAGGCTTGATCTAGTTTAGACCCATTGAGGAGGGGGGGACCCATTGACATACTTTCTGTTGCACGATTGATTGTTATCAAAGTGTCTACAGGGTCTTCTTTGTTATTAAATATTATTAAATATATAATTCAAAATATCATATTATATAACTTTATTCAAATCAAAAATAGAAAATAAATGAACATCTTAAAGATCTGATAAGTAGCCAAAAAAAATAAATACTGATACACAAGCTATAACAATTTCTTCCATCCCGCTCTATCAGAGGCTAAAAGTCTTAAATTGTACAAATCGTCTGTATTTACAAATGGAATGTTCCTACTACCTAAATCAAATTGAATAGTCCTAAGCAAGTTCGACTGGTGTCTGCCTACTCTACCCTTTTTAGTACTCTGACTCTCTACTGTAAAGTGTAATGTAAATATCAAGTAATCTAAAACCGCAGGTGGTTGACTGGCACACGATAGAGGTTAACTGGAAGCTGCTTGATGATGGTTTGACTGGTATTGATACCTTTACTATCTACTTAAACAGCCAGATTGATGGGGGTGAGGGCAGCAGTTACAAGATACCTAACAGGTTTGTGCTTTGGTGCGCTGATTTAGAATTGGTTGGTGGTTTCTTTAAGTTCAGCCAATCAAAATACATATGAATCAATCCGCTCATTACCGGACCACTTTTAATTGATTCTACGCCGTACGGTCAAAAATACGTTTTATAAAGTATGTTCAAAGTTCAAGTAGAAATCCCGTAAGGCCCTCTATTTTGATTATTATCAGAGATCTCAGCCGCCAATACTAAATCGTTTCACAATACTATTCTATTTGTACTATTTCGTTCATGTTATGTTGTTTTTTAGTATACACTCGCATGTTCTTTCTCACTTAAATAATATCTAGTTCCACAAACTCTCACAGATAATTTAACAATCACCCCAGGAATGACAGGTATGCCCGGATAACGTCCCTAGACGAGAACACTAGTTTCACTCTGAGCATTGTGGCTGAGAACTGGATTGGCACCTCTAAGAAGAGCGCTCAGGCCAGCTTCAGGACTCCTAAGAAACCTGTGTATCTGAGGGTATGGGTCGCAGGTATGTTACAGCAACGCCACATAACTGTTACAATGACGCCACATAACTGTTACAATGACGTCACACTATTATTTCAGTGACGTCTCGCTACTGTTACAATGACGTAACACTACTGTTACAGTGCCACATAACTGTTACAGTGACATCACATAACTGTTTCAGTGACGACACAGTACTATTTCAGTGGCGTCACACTACTATTAAGCTATTACAGTGAGGTCACACTACTATTTCAGTGACGTCACGCTACTATTTCAGTGACGTCACACTACTGTTACAATGACGTCACTCTTCTGTTACAGTGCCACATAACTGTTACAGTGACATCACATAACTGTTTCAGTGACGTCACACTAGTATTTCAGTGACGTCACACTAGTATTTCAGTGACATCACATAACTGTTTCAGTGACGTCACACTAGTATTTCAGTGACGTCACACTAGTATTTCAGTGACGTCACACTAGTATTTCAGTGGCGTCACACTAGTATTTCAGTGACGTCACACTAGTATTTCAGTGACGTCACACTAGTATTTCAGTGACGTCACACTAGTATTTCAGTGACGTCACACTACTATAGCTATTTCAGTGACGTCAACTTTTACCTTTGTAATTGTATCATAAAACTTAAGTTATGGCTGATTTTACTAATCTGAGAAGTTTTTCAAATGCTATGTAGGAAATAGTTGGTTATTTCAGACAGAATCTTGCACTTCTCATCGCCTTCAATTCTTCAGTGAGTAAGAATTATAAATGTCACATACTTGAAGTTCTAACTAGATTTCTATTTACTTTACAGGTACAATAACGGGGGGAGTAGTATTCCTCTTGATGTGCTTCTTCTTTCTAATGTTCTACTACTTTATATGGAAGAAACAGGTACCCAAGGTATGCATGGTATCTTATCTTGCAGTGCAGCGTGATTGCACTTTGTTTTTATCCTGATCCTATCTTATTTTGATTTTATCTTTTTCTTATAATTTAGATGTAAAACCTATCCCACCTTGGTTTTATCTTGATCCAATGATATCATTTTTTTTAATCTTCTCTTGATATAATTCATTGATTCTGACCTTACCTCATCTTATGGTTATTATATCTTGTGAACATCACAGACATTTTCTCGTTCACGTTAGATAATAATGAAAAGCTGTATAATTATACCAAATGATCTCGCCTAATATGACCGAATGTTTCAGCCCCTTAAAGAAGAAAAGACCAGCCCGATGCCGTACATAGCACGAGAAGTTGGACGTAGACCAGGAGATAGCGGGTCTCTGGTACTTAACAACCCCGTGGTAGCACCACCTCAGGGCAGTGAAAGGTATTTTTAACCACTCGGAACCACTTAGTTTGAACATCAACAAAAAGGAAACTTTTTTCCAGTTCCTCAACGGAGGGGGGGGGGGGCTTTTTATTTAATGGCACTCGACTTGTTCGTTACGTATAAAACCAAAAGAGTGAATTTCACCACAACAAAGACTCAAGGTGGAAGCTATTAAAGGTCGTCCACATATAACGTAATCAGCTGAGGGGGGGGGGGTTTCCGAATGATTACGCTAGTATAATTTTGACACAATAGCTATGTGTACAACTGATTACGGAGGGGCCGGGGGGGTGAAATGTTCCAAAAAATGATTACGTTATATGTGAACGACCCCTAATCACTGTTACCCAGGTACAGCTCAAGAAACAGTAGACAAGACAACTACAGGCCTGAAGATGTGAGGATGAGCGAACTGAGAGCCAGACAACCCTCGGATAACTCACAATTTGCTAATACTAAACCTAGGTCAGTTCTCATTATCAGTTTATTCAAGTTATTAAAAGTAAAATAATTATTAATAAAACAAATATTTAGTAAATATTGGTAAGTTAGCAAGATATAAACTGTTCGCAACACTTGGTCAATGTTAACATTTGCTAAAGTTGGGTACATGTTGGTAACAGTACTGCTTGATTGCTAATCTAATCGGTTTGGGACCAGGTTAATTTTTGGTCACTAGGTTAACAACTGCAGGTTCAGAGATTCTGACTGAGTGGATACTAAATTACTTCTTAGTTCTTGTTAGCTAGTAACCTGGCTATTACTTCGTTACTAATCTTTAGATAAGGTTATTATGCACTAAGTGACTGTTTTCACTTTTTATATTTCTTGAGAATAAGCCAAGAACAGGAGAATAACAGATCTTCCAATACCAGGCAAAAGTACGACGACGAATACGATCCCAGCTACGCTGACTCCTACAGCAAAGAGCAGTACAACGAGAAAAAGTCGCCGTACGACGACCAGTTCCCCGACGACCGTTATTATGGCAACGATCGCTACGACGACAGAGACCGTTACAATAGTCAGTATGACGACGATAGATTTAGTGGGGATAACAATCAGAGGACACCATTGCCCAGAGATTTGGCTGGAGAGGACGGTTTTGTGATCGATAATCCCTCAGCGGCACGCTTCTCTCAGATATGATATCAGCAGAAAATAGTTTACCTTTAGGTGCGTGTTTCGTCTGAGGATATGAGATTAGATGCGGAATACCCGCGTCGTGGATCGGGTTCAGTTACCAAGAGTAAGCCTTGTTGAGGTAGAGCTCTATCTATATCAGATTAAATTTTGTTTATTTTGTGAAAGTGAATCCTGAGCACTACATTGTAAATACAGCAGACTGCCTTTCTAAAGTTTTATCGTCAAATAAAATTTATTTTATTTTCGATTTTCAAGTCGATCTGTTTGACTCAAACTGTTTGTCAAAAATTACGAATTCGGAATTTTGTTTATCATGTAACATGAAACGTAAAATAAAAACAATTCTCGTTCACTTTATAGTTAACACGCAATGGCCATATTGATATAACTATAAGATGTCATTCCTTACTTTCATGTCCACACTACTTAACAAAAGACACGTCTCTTATTGAAGGTTGATTTGTGATTGTACTTGTAGCTTTATTAATATTATATTTCGTCAGAAGGTTTGTAATTACTGATTTTTATGGTATTTATGAATACATCACTCAGTCGCAGATGATATGATAATAATATCAAATAGTTGTTCACAATATTATACAACAAACAAACACATGAACATTTACGTTTGACATTGGAAAGGGTTTTTTATTAACATTTGCTATATAATTATACTCGTGTAGCTTGACAGATATTAAATTATGCGAGAACCGAGATCATTCTAAGTTATATGGCAAAATATTGTTCCTACAGTGTTTTTATTTGTTTTTATCCAATAATCATGAGAGTATCATTTAGTTTAACACATAATTCTCAATACTATTACTAAAATCACGTGGGTGATAGTCCTTAATTGAAATTCCGATGAAAACTTAGCAAAAAGAGCTTAATAAATATATTCTATAACTTCTTTTCTTTTAAGTTATACCGTGAACGAGGGAGACAAGGGGGGGGGGGCACAGGAGGAGCTAAGTGCAAAGAAACTGCCACTAACTGCTACTAACTGCCACTAACTGCCACAAACTGCCACTAACTGCCACAAACTGCCACTAACTGCTACTAACTGCCACTAACTGCTACAAACTGCCACTAACTGCCACTAACTGCTACAATCGCGCCCACGCACTGCGCGCGCCGTTTGCAGCAGTTAGTGGCAGTTTGTAGCAGTTAGTGTCAGTTAGTGGCAGTTAGTGGCAGTTAGTGGCAGTTTGTGGCAGTTTTCAGCAGTTGCGCCGCGCCTTTTAGCAATTTGTCTTTGGCGCCTTACATGCCACATGACTTATTGACATTGTATTGGTCTTAAACCAATTTTATATTATTAGAAAATATATGAATTTAGGACAAAATAATTTACCATCGAAGGAAATAAATATTAACTTTTTGACAAGAAAAGCGATTACTAACTTGAGTTACACAAACACTGCATGGCAATACGATTACAAATTGTTTAAATGTTAAATCCGGGTATCGCTATTAGTATTGTGCTATTGTGCCAAAATTACAATATCATATGGTCAATCGTAATCATTTGCAATTTGGAAGACCCATCTGCTGATATATAAACGACCCCTTATATTAACTTGATTGTAGCAAACCGCGTGATGTTTATTGATCATCAGTTCGATAGGACGATAGTTATGAGAAGGCTACAAAACTACAATTTCCATAACCAGTTTTAGAACTAAACGCTTGATTGACGGTTCAGAACTTTATTTGAATAACAGGGCCTCCCACGGATTAAACAGTTTTGTGCAAAGAAAGAAGTGAAGAGAGTACGAAGCCAAAGAGTTCTCCGACAATTGTTCCAGCTAGCATCACCGCAGCAACGCCAACAGCAAGCAGGGACTTATCCATGCAACCTATACAACGCTGACCAAGAATGGACATGCCACGGTACCACTATAATATTTGCTTTGATTCTCCGTGATAGCACTAGCAGTAGCAGAATTTGCTGCTTGTAATTCCTGGGCGTTGCTGAACCTGTCATTCCGCCCTATCTGCTATAGGCATATTTTTAATCGCCATAATATGTTCAATGTTAAATCAATGTGTTTAACTTAATAAATACAAAAGCCTGAGCGAGGTACCGTTCCCAGGTAAATTCATCTTTGCAAGTTGAATTTGCGTTTCTGAAACCACTCTCTGCACTGGTAATTGTATTTAAAAGGGAACACAAAATGATGTACGTGACCAAAATTATTCCCCGCGCGACGCAATTAGATTCTCTTTCAACATTAAGTTTCAGTTTCTGGGTAATTCGCGCGTAAAATCATATTTGCACGTGTGCGTTCCATGTTCTCAGAATTAGGCAACGGTAAGTTTAATCTTTAACTTTAACTGTTTTGAAACAGGTGCTGTTATTTCATGCTGGGAATCCCAAAAAGTGCTTGATCGGCCAGTTCATCATTGTGTCTTGCTAAATACTTGGTTAGTTTCATTATGCTTCGACTAATCATCACTGTTGGATTGGGGATGGTCCGATGGTATTCAACTGTTGAGGGCCTACTGTAACAGCCATTGATACGCTTATAGTTATAGTTATCAGGCAGCAACTAACTGATATCCAATGGGTCTCAGCCATAGAACAATACAGGCTCAACGGTGGCTCGGAAAAGTATAATCTTCATGGTCTTATATATGATTTTGGTCTATTAGAACGAGTTTTAAATGAAATATATCCTCCAGAGATGATTACTAATAAAAATAATACTTCAGTTCGTGAAACTGACTTTTTAGATATTTATAGTCTTAGGCCCGTATTCACCAACCTTTAGGTCATACTTAAACAGCGTTTTAAGTATGAGGTCGCACTTAAAAAGGAGTTTAAGTGGCAACTTTAATTTTAAAAATGGTATTCACCAAATTCACGATTAAGTGTCACCCTTAATTTTTAAGGGTGACACTTAAAATCCCTTAAATTTGGTATTCACCAAATCAACTCACGCTTAAGTTGGTACTTAAACTCACACTTAAAACGGATATTTTTAAGGTACACCTATATCAACCTTAAACTACAGACCTCCTACTTAAAATATTACTTTCACAGTTTACATACGTAGCAGTCACACATATACATCATGTGTTTGATATTTCCGACACGAGTTTTGATACTTTTGACCCTCACAAAAATTAAAATAGTTTGATGAGTAAATGTAATCGTTAAAATCTGAAGTTTATTATTTAATACTAGTACTAGTGCCGTGTGGAACAAAGAAAAACCATAGTGTTTCAAGAGTAAAAGTAGTAGTAGCGTTTAAAAACAATCTTAATAAAAATAATAAAAATTACGATAAATCCGTTATGTCTCCATTCTCAAGCTCCGCGAGAAGGCCAGCCGAGAAAGGCAGATCGGTAGAGGTGGCCGTTGGTACCAGGTTGTCCCTGTGGACCCTTAGAATCTCCAACCAAAGTTCGTGCCTTTTAGCCTGCTGCATTTGCATTTGCTGCATCTCAATTTGCTGAATTGCCAGAATCCCCATTCTTGCTTGATGAAGCTCTTCTGCCCGATCCTGGAACAGTTCTTCCCTATGTGTTGCCTTGGGTTGAAATGATGAGGTAGGAGAATTTCTCTGCCTCTCGTTCTTTACCTCCAACGAGGGTTTCCTCTTTGAGCTTGCTGGGATACCGATGCTCGAACTTGTTGCTGGAGTGCTGGGGCACTCTTGCTCCTCTTCGCCTAGGTTTATTACCTCTACATCTAGTGAGGGGTCAGTATCTTTTAGACTCCCAAGGGTGGAGTCAGAGTCAAACTCATACTTGAGAATTTAGTTAGCCATGATGCAGTGCATCATGGCTGACTAAATTCTCAACTTTATAATATCAGTTGTGTGCATCAGATGCACACAACTGATATTATAAAGTTTTCAAATTTGTGTGTGGCGAAATTACCCTGATCTTCTGATCCCATTTGTTTGGCGGAGTTTGGCGCGAAATTCACGCGCGGCTGGCAAAGTCACGCACGTGTATTGGCGAAGTTCGACTACATTTCTACTTCATCCCGGCGATGTTACCCACAGCATGGCGATGTTACCCCGGCGACCAAATTGCCCATTGTAACACGCAGGCTAGAGCTAGATAAGTAAAATTGGCAGGTATATCAAGGAAATATAATTGAGTTTCAAGTGGTATGGTGCTTAGCACCGAATATGGTATAGTTTCAGAATGGCGAAGTTACCCCGTATTGCAGGGTAACTTCGCCCTGATTTCAGTGGAACCAATCTAGCTGACTATTTATGCCTGGCTGATGTGGTTCATACGAAAACATTTGCTTTACCAATCCTGTTCATATGAGCTATAAACTTTTTCAAGTACTCGTGTCGTATTTTCTAAATAACATGAAATAGCTGTAAAACAAGGCGAAGTTCCCCCATTCTACGGTACTATATTTCATGTACACATCTATTTTCCTAACAGTTTAAGTTAAAGCCTAAAGTTACCGGTACGTGACCAGAACTGCATTAAGTGCACACGTGCGAATTTGATTTTACGCACGAATTAGTTTTAAATGTTAGACCAATTAGAAATTGATCTAATACACAACTTTACTTCTATACACTTCAGTGATTGGGCTGATGACTCCAGTGAAAGGGCTGGTGACTCTAGCGAAAGTGCTGGTGACGATGAGAAAGACCATAAACCAGGGATTCCTTCGGGAGCATGTAAGATTATATCCAAAGTTTGTTCGCCAATGGGGTGTGTCTGGGTGTCAAATATCTTCAAGGTGGGTGCTACTTGTGATGAACTCTAGAAGGATGGGATGGTAATACTCGGTCTGGCAGTCTGGAAGCCCATAGAATTCCAGTTCAGAAACTGAGTAAGGAGGTGCGGCTACTGATGAGAAGCCTCCTTTATAAAGTTTATTTGGGTTAGAAACGACATTGGGTCCCTACCCTCGCACAAGATTATTCTCAATTTTCTTGTTGTGTTCCACAACTACTAATAAGTATACTTACCTTTATGTACATGATATCTTTCTATAACATATTCTCTATACAATATTGTTTCTCCTATAATTATATATTGTACATGACAGACATAAAATTTATCCTGACTGCCATCTTCTGTGTTCTCAGTTTACAATGGTTTCCTGCGGACCCTAATTCTTTCTAACAAAAACGTAGTCTGTGCTATCAGCTAGTTATAAGTGTCCAAGACTATATATTATGTTTTTCTTCTATCCGCACCCCGGGATCGAGATGTACGCCTTCTAAAGAATTACCTTCAGCAGTTCCATAACTTAAGGTAGATACCATACTATACTATTTGTATCACGTCGCGATCCCCACCGACATGTCATTACTTTCTCTTAGTAGATCTTGAAGTGAAAATCTTTTCCGGTTTTAGCGTTGATGTCGCTGAAAATTTCCGTGGTTGTTAGACTTGCCAAAAGTTCTTACTTCTTTCTGATCAAGGTATTCCATTAGCGTTGCATTACCATTAGCCTTAGGTAAAGGTATAAAATTCGATAACTGTTTTATCGTCTTATCGGTATCCGCGTGCCGAATGGCAAAGCGATAAACATTATTTTTCATAACACATCCGCGTTTTCCAACCAGTTTAAGTTAAATAAGGTTAACGGTGACCAGTCCTGTGGACAATGACATGGAGCCTATTACGTATGACTATAAATTTATAATAATGCAATTCACAGTTGCATTTTGACGTACTTTTGGGAGTACCAAAAGCGCGCAAACTGAATATATTTAACGCGCGAATCTGTTTTTGAAATAAACTGAAAGTGAAAGAGAATCTAATTTGTAATTACATCGCGCGGGGAATA